GTGGTTCGGAATGAGCCATCGGGCGCGGGTACGAATGACGGGGGAGGGGTTTTGCCTAGATAGCCGCCTGAAAGGTGCAAAAAGCCGTACTTTGCGCCTGGAAGTAGGCAAAAAGTGCAACTGGCTGCCGCCGCGGTGAGCCGGCCGGTGTTTGTACTGGGCACGCATTGCGGGTTGCGGGCGGGCTGCCGCGTGCAGTGCAACTGCGTGTGCACTGTGTACAGTGTAGGTAGGGCGCCGCCATGGCCGTCCGCGTCGGCGGTTCATTTCGATTTCTCGATTACCGGAGAGAGACAGCGCGGCGCGTCGTCGCCCCCAAGGCGCGCAAAGGCCTCGAAGGATAGGCGCGACGCTGCGGGACGACGGGGGACAGACGCGTTACCGGAGTCGTTTCGACGCGCCTCCCGCGCGGAGCTGGCCCCGACGTTCTGACGCCCTGGCTGGTGTAGGGCGTAGCGGCGAAGCACCCATCACGCAGGGAGTGGCCGCCCTGCCATCCATCACAGTGCATCGCAGGGCCAGCGGGCCGTTTCTCTGTCGCTCTGTCTCCCTCGCACCCCTGCCACCTGCCGCACTCCCCTGAGTGCGAGAGAGAGAGAGAGAGAAGAGAGAGAGAGAGAGAGAGAGAGAGAGAGAGAGAGACTGAGTACGGTCCGGCAGCACGGCGAGCCTCCACGCCCTCGGCCCTCGGTACCCTTCACCCGGATTCAGCTTTTAGCGCTTCGCGGCAGCATGGCGGTCGCTTTCCGTGACCGGACAGAACCGGGATGAATTTTGAGGGATCGGTGAATCCTCTACGAGGACACGACGGTGTCGATATCTCATTAGGGTAACTTGATTCCAAAACTCGATTTACGGCCCCGCTTTCGCCCTTAGCGCGCCAGTTGCGGCGTTTTGTACCGATCGAGTTTCGTCTTCCAGAAACTTGGTTTTGTCCGGGCAGGCTGGCGTCGTGCCGTGCCGGCCTGCGAGTGGGCCTGTCGGCGAGGGTCATCGCGGCCCGGGTGGGCGACGCCCGGCGACGCCGTACGATGTGCAGCCTGCACTGCGGGGTGTTGCAACGCGACCGCGGCGGCAGGCAGGCAGGCAGCCGCGGGGTGTCGGTGTCGGCGTGGGCCGGCTGGCGGTGCTGACGGCCACCATTGTGGACCGTCGTGCGCCGTACGCCCCGCCGCGGCCTTCCGACCCACCGCCTCGGAGGCGGCCGCGGCTCTGCATCGCTATTTGCATTTGGGGCGCGGGGCGGGGCGCGAGTCAGTGCGCGGCCGTGGAATCCGATACGAGGCAAGGCGGTCACTGGACAGGAGGAAGCGGGATGAAGGGCAGTGTGGTGGACTCGCGGGGAAGGGTATCGAAGTCTACCGCGCCGCCGCCACGTCGCTGTCGTCGCTCGCGGCCGCGAAGCGCGCAGCTGTTTGTCCATTCTGACTCACTTCCCGCGTATCTCAGTCAGTCAAGTTTACTCCGCGGCAGGGCGGGGCCTAGCCCGGCGGGCCTCACTCGCAGTGTATCAGGGCGGCGATGGCCGTCGGCTTGTGCGCTCCGCGACTCCGCCGCTTATCTGGCGAGATACTGAGGCCGTCCTGCAGAGCCATTCCGGAGAGGGCCTCGTCGCTCTGTCTCCCTCGCACCCGTCCGGGGCACCCCATGAGTGCGAGAGGGACAGAACGACGAGGCGACTGCCGCGGCGGGGCCTGGCTCGCGCTGGCTCGCCCTGGCTCGCCTAATTCGCGTGGATTTGGGATGGACGGCTCGACGGCCACCTCGGCTTGTTTGCTCGCGTGCTGCTGATCGCCATGGAGCGCCCCACAGTGTGGGCCCCACTCCCTTGCCGGGACGGGCACCGCGCGGGCTTTGCTTCGAGTTGGCCGCTAAAAATACGCAAGGCCACGCGCGGACACTGCACACCGCCGGTACCGCCGTCTAGGTGTCTCCTTGTCCGTTGAAGCTCGGTCAAATCGACGTCGAGGACGGCCTAACCCAACCTAAGAGCGTGCCACTTCTTGTGGCGTAGGCGTAAGGCGTGAAGTTTCAGAACACCCAGAATGGCAGTGTAACGGCATCGGTGTCCGGTTTTGGGGGCCTGTAGCGCCTGCGAGGTAGGCCGTCGATCCGTCCCGCAACACACCGGTGTGGAGACTGTGGCCTACCTCGCCCCTAGCAGTGTAACGCCTGAGAGGTAGGCCACCGTCTCCACACCGGTGTGTTGCGGGACGGATCGACGGCCTACCTCGCAAGCGCTACACTGCTAGGGGCGAGGTAGGCCACCGCCTCCACATCGGTGTGTTGCGGGACGGGTCGACGGTCTACCATGCGCTACAGGCTCCCGTTCAAAGCCAAAGCATTGCGCGATGAAGGTGTCTAAGGGCAAGACACGGCATTCCTTGGCCAGGGAGGTCATCAGGCTGCCGCTCTGAAAGAGCTCGACGACGGCGGCAAGGCCAAGGTGCTGCCCTCCGGCCTCCACGCGTAGGGCCAAGCCCAAGGGCCAGTAAACTCGAGTAAACTCCGCTCGCCTCGTTCGTCCAACTCCCAGAATAGTGCAGGCGGTTGGGCGCGGAGTGTTGTTCCGTCCGTCGCTGGCCGGCACTGGCCGTGCCCGGTTTGTTTACCGGCGTAGTAGCTCCTCGTTGAGCGCTACTTGCCTGGCCCCGCCCCGCTCCACCCTGCCCCCGCCCTCCACGGCCTCCTCCATGACGGGACGGGGCACCGGCCAAGGACGCGACCTGCTAAATGAATCGTCCCGTCTCGCGCTCTGTCACACGGCACGCCCACGCTCCGTGCCGCGCTCCGTGCGCCGCGGGCAGCGGGCACCCCGGGGCACCCCTGCGTCGTGGCACGGCACGGCACGGCGCGTAGGGGGTGCGAGGGAGACAGAGCGACAAACTGCTCGGCAGCCTGCCGCTGTCCGAGTCCGCGTTCGCCGCCAATATTTGCGCAGCCGGCTTCGGCTCCGCGGCTTCCTCTGCTCGGCGCGCCTTGCCAGTGTGCTTGCCGGTGTGCTTGCCAGGCCGATATCGGGGCGTTGGGCGTTGCGTCACGCAGCGCAGCGCTTCCCTTCCGGCCGGCCAGCAGACTCATTCCGAGAGTCGTTTTCGTCGTGTCTCTCTCGCGCGGGGCGCCTCACGAGTGCGAGAGAGACGGAGCGACGAAAACGACTCTCGGTATCAGCCTGCAGGCTGCGTGTGGGAATGAACGCCGAGCGACGCCGAGGCGATGCGGTCCGGGGTCCGGGGAAGTCCGCGGGGGGAGGCACACGCCGTGCCGTGCCGTGCCACGCCGCGCCGTTGAGGGTTTCGAACGACTTGCAGTTTGTCTGCGTCTCTTGCAGCGCTGCAGCAGTGTGACCCACTTCCCTGCGGTCCAACCTGCACCCTCCTTCTCCCTCACACGTTGCCCCGCGTTGCATCGCGTTGCTTGCACCTGAATGAGGGTTCTGTCCGAAAATAGACGGCCGTCTTGTTTTCCCTGCGGCGCATCGCGATCTAATTCAAGCCGCGTCATTCTCCTCTCCGTTTCCGCCACGCAGGCACACAGGACTCCTCCACTCTCGGCTGGGGAGCCTTACTTCATTCCGATCTCTTTGTTTCCGAAGACGAGTGTGCGACTACTGTCTCCTTCGGCCGCCTTGGCGCGCCCGACGCGGTCTCTGCACCCAGACGCGGGGCATGCGAAGGCAGTGGGGAAGGGGCTTGCACCCTGGTTTGGCACAGGCAGCTCAACACAAAACCACAACACACGACACTGGCTGGTTCTCACAGTGAAGCACAGCCACTTCGGAGTGACGGCGCAAGTAGCCGGCTGGGAACAGGAAAAGGGGGGGGGGGTCTATTTCGGTGCGCTGCGTATGGAAGGATGACTGCTGTTCATTTCGGGGCGCCGTCGTCGCGGCCCGCCGTTCGGCGCCGAGCATGTGGCTCTGTGGGCTCGCCGAGGCCGCGGCCGCGCCCCGTCTTCACGTACTACCAGTTGCAAAAGAGTCTGACACTCCAGCCGGGTTTTTCGGTCCCTGCATTCAAACCGCTCAATTTAGAGGGGTACAGTGAGCGAGCGGATTGTGCCTGGAACAGGACCTCCAATCGGCTCGCTTTGTTTTTGCAACTGGCGGCGCCTGACGACGGCCGTCCTTCCCGCAGCGCGCTGTGAGTCTCGGCATGTGGCGGTGACTGGCGTCGGCCGGTGGCGAGGCCCTACAGTGCCCTAGCGCCGGCCCATGAGCGTGAGCTGCGTGAGCGACCCCTTGCCCGGGCTGTGCAGCCTGAGCCTGGGGCCGGGCCTCGGGCCGGGCCTGGGGCCGCCCTCTCTGGGGCCGCCCGCCGCCCCGAGAACGACGCCGAGCTTGACGCCGAGCTTCAGGCTGGGCCGGGCCGTCGGCCAGGCCAACGCCGCCCCCTCGGCCAGGCCGGCCGCGTCCGCCGGAAGCAAGATTGACGTATCTGCGTGGCGGCCCGAGGATGGCGGCCAAGGCGGCCGGGCGGCCGGGAGGGCGACGACGCCTGGCCCGCGGCCACGAGGATGACGGCGGCCGCGCCCGCCACGCCCGAGTCCCTGTCGACGGACTGCAGCCTGGTGGACGAGCTGGACCTGGACTTGTGGGAGGGGCAGTTCGAGTTTGTGGGGCCCGACTTCCCGGCGGCCGGCGCGCACGACGCCAAGTGCGCCGAAGACTCTGACGACGTCATCACCCCGGCCATGGTGCGGCGCGCGCGCGGCGAGCGTGTGCAGCGTGTGCAGGACCGCGGCATGGACGTGGACGCGCAGCAGTGGTGCGACCATCTCGCCGATCAAGTGAGTCGCCCTGGGTCCTCCGCCACGGCCTTCTCCGCGGCGCCGGCACGCTGCTGCCGGGGTGGTTGGGCTCGCCCAAGAGAAGGGGCTGGCTGGAGCTGTTGCGGCCCGTCGCCCGCCCCGCGCTGCGTCCTCTTTCTCCTCAGGATGACGGCCGCTCCCTCTGGCCCCTCTGGCACTCGTTGGTGACGCCCGGCGTGCTCGTGTTGCAGGTCCAGATGCTTCAGCAGCAGGTGGGGGTGCTGGCCGACAACCAGACCAGCACGGACGAGCGCTACACGCGCGCCAAGCAGGACAACGCCGCCCTGCAGGCCAGGGTGCTCATGCTGGAGGAACAGCTGCGCGAGACGGAGCTGCGCGCCGAGGAGCGCCTCCAGGACGAGCAGAAGCGGCACCGCGAGCTCATGGTGCGCGTCGAGCGCGAGAAGCAGCTGGAGCTCGAGAACTGCGCCATCAGGTGAGCCATCGCCGCCATCGTCCTGGTGCGCAGGTGCGAAATTTGCAGTCTTCACACTTGAAGTGTGGCGTTCTCCACGTTTGCACCTGCTAAGAGAGAGAGGGGGGCTCCGTGAGCTACTCCATCCTAAAGTGGAGACTCCAGGCTGCACACATCTACGTCCAAGTGAGGACTCCGCACCAAGGAAGTGTGGAGTTCTCCCCTCTTGGTTTTGACGGTGGACAGAGCGACGCTAGTGCTTCCCTGACCGCGGCGCGCCGTCCCTGTGCAGGCTGCAGACCGCGGAGCTGGAGGCCACCACCCTGCGCGAGGAGGGCGGCCGGCTGCGCCACCAGGCCGACCAGCTGCGTGCGGAGAAGCACCGCGTCCAGGACGCCCTCGTCGACGCCGAGTCCGCGCTGGCCGCGCTCCGCGACGAGATGGCCCAGCAGAAGGACGACTTCCGGCAGCGCGAGGCGGAGCACCAGCAGCGAGAGCAGGTGAGTGGAGTCGCTGCCACCAGGGCAGGCCGACCAGGACGAGCAGTAGACTCATTCATAGAGTCGTTTTCGTCGCTCTGTATGTCTCTCTCGCACCTCAGAGGGACGCCCCATGAGCGCGAGCGGGACAGAGCGGCGCCTGGCTACGCCTGGCGAGCTGACTGCTGACCCTGCCTGCGGTGCCGCTTTGCTTTGCAGCTCGTGGAGGAGCTGAGCCTGGAGCTGGAGCGGCAGCGGGAGGCGGAGCGCGCGCACCGCCAGTCGTCGCGGCGCCCCGACCAGGACAGCGACAACCTGGCGCAGGTGGTGGCGCTGAGCGCGCAGCTGGAGCACGTGCGCGAGGAGGCGCGGTCCCTGCGCGAGGCCAACGAGGAGCTGCAGGCCCTGGTGCTGACGCGCGGCGTGGAGGAAGGCCGCAGCCTGCTCACGGGCAGCATGGGCTCCTCCAGCCTGGCCGCCGAGCTCGAGGCCATGTCGCAGGACGAGGTACGGTATACTGCACAGTACGGCTCTTTTGTGGCTAGAAAGGGGGCTGCTTTTTCCACGGGATTCTGGCAAACTCAGAGGAGAACTGGCCTATCGGGCCCGTCGCTGCCCCGTGAGCGAGAGCGGTCTCGACGAAAGCTGAAAACTCTTTTTGTGGACAGCTTCTCCTGTGCGGAGTAGCGGCGGGGCTGCCGGCAGCGCCGGAATGGGGGGAATGGGGAATGGGGACCCTGGGTCTGGGAATGAAAAACTCCGAGGAACCCGTGCATTGCTCTCCACCAAAAATTCTATGTTCTTATATTAGTGCTTATTGCTTTATTAGAGAGTTAGATTATGTTTGGTGGACAAAAGTTGACATGCTAAGAAAAAGGTAGCTTATTAACATTTACACCAAAATAAAAATTGATAAATTAATTTATTTGCATGAGTATGTACTTAGAAAAACGTCTCTGGTTTCATGAAATCTAATGAATACTTCCACATGCAGCTATGGAAGAAGCATGAACCCTTGACTCCTGCATAATCTTTTTTTCTTTTCCTTGCATTGCACTTGTATTGTGTGTTGTCGACTGTTGAAGTAGTTAAAAACTTTAGTCCTAGTAGGAAACGAGTAGATGTTTATAATGGAAACACCCATCCCTTTTTTACTTTATTTTAAATGGCACCAAGTCACTGTTGAGAAGCAATCACCCTTTGTTAGAATTTACTTATTTTTTGTTTCTTGTTTTTTTCTTTTTTCTTCACAGAGTATGGATAAGTCTCTCGATCAGAGCTCAGTAGCAAAGGTATGCTAAATGCTTCTGCTTTTTTTGTGTGTCCTCAACGCTGCTTTTAAATATGCCTCTGGATTAAAAAAAGTGCTTCCATTTTATTTTTATTTTTTTATTTTTTTTTTGGGGGGGGGAGTGAATGATCTTTTTTCTATGGCTCTTGGCTTTTCAACAAAAGCAATGCACTCCTTTTCTTTCTTCAGACTTTCCTTTCCAACATCTTTGTACAGTTGTTGCTTTGTTCTTGTGTGTGTTTTCTTTGCGGGAGGGGGCTTAAGAACTCAAACAGGCAAGGATGTCAGAATGCCCGTCAAAATTACACTTCTGTTTTGCCAAGCATTGACCTTAGTGTTTTAAAAAGGATATGTCCTGATTTGTTTAAATTAATATTTTGTTGTTTGAATGGGAGCTTTAGCATTCAGGTGTTTTGAAAAATAAGGTAACTTGCTATATTTTTGGTCTTATGCATTTCATAATTGTTTGATTACAGATTCGACAGGCCCTAAAGGAACAACAAGATATGAACACCCAACTACGACAGTACATAGATGGAATTTTAATTAATATTATTGAAAACTATCCAGAACTTCTAGAAGTGAGAAAGCCCTGAAGAAAATATATCCATTTTTAAACCGTATCAATTTTTGAGCTTTTCTTTAATGTTCTGCCATAATGCTAATTTTAGTTTGTTGATTTTTTGTACGAAATTTCTTTACCCAAAAATGAAACCTATGTACGTGATGAGAATATATACACTTGTGATTTTACTAGGCTAGATTTAAATCAAGCTCTCAGGGACTGCCATATGACCAATAAGAATTTTGCGGTCGGCCTGTGCCTGTACCCTGTTGTTTCTCTTTTCTTTTCAATGTGATTGTTATAATTTATAATTTGTGTGTTTGGTAAGTCAAAAGATTAATGAACGTAAAAGATAGGCAGGAGTTAAAAATAACATTGTTGTAATATTGCAAATGAGTTGCCCGAGAGTTCATGGTATTGGAAATTTGCTAAGTGCTACTGGTCTGTGTGTAAACTAATAAATTCATTGTTGATGCCATTAAGTCAATGAGTTTTGTCTACATGGGCAGTACACAGCAAAGGTTCTCTTATAGACATGTGCCCCAATGTTGTTCCCAATGGCCATGCCCACTCTCAAGCGTTTATGAAGGTCCTTTATTACGCTTTCCAGTGGGATAAATTTTACTAGTCACGATGCTAATGCAAAGTATCTGATATGTGAAGTGGCCCATAATGAGAGACTTTGTGCAAAGCACTGAACTGCTGATTAGAGGGTATAATTTAGACTTGTCATGTAGGTTTGTTACTTCAAAGACAATTTACCTAAGACATGGCAAATGTTCTTGTGCATATTTGCAGTGCCCACTCACTAAAAGTAAATTCAAACCAATACTGTATTTAATGAAAACAATTGTGCTGACCTCTCAGTGGAGGCATCTGTGATTTATCCATGACATCTTGATTTTTGCCATGAAATGTCCCCCTTTGAGAAGTGTTGCTGAATACCGTTGATAGGTTGAATCGTTAATCCTAATATTTGTTTTCAAATTACATTATACTTGATTCTACTTACTAGAAGTACATGATATTTAATTGCAATTGATATATTCTATTCTTGTTCCAGAAGAGATATTTTTGTTGTTACTTGTTAATGTGATGTGTAACGTAGTGAACTTCTGTGTGTTTTGCGCAATGTGGCAAGCACTGCTAGCAACTTTTAGCTTAATTACTAGCTTCTTAGTGCATTTATGTGATATTTTGTGACATTAACCACACAGACTCAGAACCAAGAATGAGTCCAAAGTGGACTTAAATCCATATCTTTATTTAGATTAGTTTATTTTTCTCATATTAATTTCTAGCTTAATCTCTTAATCTGTTGGTATTGTTCTGTCAGGAGAGCAGTGTTCGGATCTGACATCTGAACACAACTTGTTCATCAGTTCTTCATCCCATTCTTTGAATCATATAAGCTGTTTCTTCTTATACATCATAACGTATTCATTTTTTTTTTCTTTATTACCACAGTTGTGACAGACTAAAAGACTAAATTTCTATAAAATTATATTTTATTTACAAAAACCAAAAAACAGTCTCTTAAAGTTACGTTTTTGGGTGTTACTTATATGATTAAATGTAACTGCTCATTTGACAATATTGCTTCAAAAGAAGCATTTATCAAATTACAGATGTTCCTTTGCTTGATGACCTTGTAAGAATTCATACTAAACTAAGTTGGTTCAATTATGACAGGTTGTGTGGTCCCCCAAGTCAATATAGAAACTTGGTGTTATTGGCTGGCACAGTTGTACATAAACTACTCCTTTAAATACAAAGTTCATGCAAATGAACAAATAGAGAACACTAATTCATCACACCAAGGATTCCCTTATTTTTTTTAGATGACATGTAAATATATGTTTAAGATAATTCTCTTGGTGTGTTTGTATGGACCGCTCAAATAAATACATTGGAAATTCTCCATGCCGAATCAGAGTTTTAACTTTGAAAACCTAATGTTCTCTCACTCTCTACAGAATATTTCAATATAACAGCAGACGTAGGCGACTCTAATTATGTGATAAAAATGACATTCTAAAGCCAAACAATATTTCTTCTGCCTTCTCATGCCAAAAAGAACATTTCACATCAACTTAATCATCTTAGGGGGTCAATTATTTTGAACACCGGAGCAAAACTCTAGCCGCTAGGTCACGGTCTATCCATTCTCGCCATCAAAAGGATGAAAGCATGACTCAACTTTACCCATTCAATCTAGTAGATAGACAACATAATAAGCATCTAGTTCAATGGAAATAAAGTTCTGGCTTCAAGAAAGCCATTATTGAAAAGTTTTATTAAAATACAATGACACACAAAGTTAAAATTCATTTGTAGAAAACAAAGTACTGTCCTACAGCAAAAAATAAAAATTTCGTCATATGCAAAAATCAGTCATCAAGATCACAGAAACATTGTTAGAGGAAAATGCATTGAAACAATCTTGTTAGTCATAATTTGAATTATTTTTTCTTTCAAGATCACGTATTTCTAAAATATCAGTCTTCAGTCGCAGTTTCATTATTTCACGCCAAATGTCCTCACGATGTTGCGGGTTCACAATTCCCAGCCTAAGAAGGGTGTTTTCGTGCATGCGCACTAGAGCACGTCCAGTTATGTCATGCTGCAACATGAAAAACATGAACAGTTCTAGAATGAATCCATCTCACATAAGTTTGCCATGATTGAACATTATTCATAAAAACGGCGGTTCACCTGCAAAAATAATTCCCAATACAACGGATGATGATCCCCACAGTGGCGTCTCAACCACTTTTGTACATCGTGGACTGTCCATAGATAAACTGGCCTGGGACGTTCTGTTTTCACCTGAAGGAAGTTGTTAAAAGTATAATAATTGTCTTCCAGGGGATAAATTAACTCAAAAACACCTAACAAAGATTATGTCAAACTTACTTTGGGTTTATTGCTGGAGTATATGGCTTCTTCAACCATTTTCCAGGCGCATGGACAAACCAAGACTTAGAATCGATTAGGATTTAAAAGTTAGATTTTTCACTACACAGGGTTAAAAGAGATTGATGACAAAACAGCTGTGAAAACCCCTAACTTGAAACTTAAAGCTTGAATACAATGTTCCACACAAGAAGAGGTTATGGACTCGTTGTTTTGATCATCACAGCTTGAGGTTGGAGAGGGCAGTGAGTTTAGCAGAAGAGAAGTCACCCAAACGTCAAAATGGCGACATTACTAGATAATTATGAACAACAATATGCAATTTTAACGGCTGATATTACCGGGAAAATAGGTCAATTGTCATCAAAAACGGCTGGTTAGTATGCTGAACCGTTTTAAAATTCGTGAGAGGGACCTGCACTTTATTTTCTAACCTCAATGGGCAGTGCTTTTTAACTTGGAGGGTACTACCCATGTCTTTCACCCTGTCAATCACCACAATTTTGATGAAATGAATCAACTACTTTGTGAATTATGAACTAATGTAATTTCAGAATTGAAACCAACACGATTTTCGCATTTTGCTCCTTGATTCTATTTCACACGCACACCATATGTTTCTTTTTCTCCTACTCTCTCAATAAGTCATATTGTAAGACTTTTATCCACATGATCAGTTATTTTTTATCTTATCCACTAAATACATTGCACTTATGTATTCAGGTGAACGGAAGCCTTTGATTGCTGAGCTGGATCGTCAGCTAGAAGAAGCACTTGAACTCGTAAGACTCTTCTGAAATCTTAACACGTTACCTACAATCATTGTATCATTTTGTTATTTTTTTAAAAAAATCATTCATTTTTGTATGTTTTCTGTTGCAGCTTGAGCAGATGGAACTGGAGGTCAGAGAGGTGGAAGCTACTCAAAGACCTCGATTACGAACAAGGGTTGACAGTTATCAAGCTGAACTAAGACGACTCAAACAGGCCTTTGAGAATGCATGTTCAACTACCCACATTGATGGTAATACTGAATGCTTACTGGCTTAAATATCCCTCTTTATCAATCCGTCTCATGTTATTTTTGTAACAAATTTCTTGAAGGTTTAGGTGATGGAACTGAAGAACTATTTATTAATGATGGTGTAAGCGTCAAAGAAGAGCAAAGACAAAGGTTGCTGAATAACTCTGAACGTTTAGAGCGCACAGGCAATCAGTTGATTTCTGGTTATCGAACTGTAATAGAAACAGAAGAAGTAGGCAATCAAGTGTTACAAGACCTGGCCATTCAAAGAGAAACTATTCAACGTGCAAGATCTAGGGTAACGATATAGTTCCCTCAAAATTTTTTGTTTGGCACGATTTTAAATTAAATGTGGATGTTTATGGTGTTCTTTGCATTATTTTTTCAGCTGAGAGAGACCGATGCTGACCTTGGACGAAGCTCCCGCCTTATGAGTGGAATGGTTTTCCGCTCTTTACAGCAAAGATTTATTTTGATTGGAGTCTCTGTTGCCATTGGTATTGTTATCATATGGTGCATTTATTATGCTTTTGCTAAAAATTCTTAGAAATGTGTCTTTTGCTAAAACTTTATCTTTTCTATGAAAAAGCTAATGCTTTCTGATTAAAAATGAACATTGTTTAAGAACTGCGCATAGGTGGAAGGCCCTTTTAAGAGGCTCTCACTTTTAAATCAGACTGGCTGTTGTTATGTTGGTACCACTCTTTTTAAATTCCTTTTAAAGCCTATTTTAATGAACAATTTTGGATTGATTTTGGAAGTTTGCCTCTCTGTTCTCAAAGGAAAGGAACTTATAGCAAGCAAAGTTCAGATTAATTTTTTTTTCCTTAAGCATGAGCATTGTCTTTTGAAGAATACTTAACTGCCGACCCAAGCTCCACCAAAACTTTGGTTTATGTTTAGTATTCCACTTCTTCATGAGTGTTCTGGTTTCTCTGCCACATTCCATATTTATGTTGGATAGTTAGCCTTGGAAGTATTTATTATTATCGACGATATTAAACAAAATGTGTTTGATATGTAGTTTCTATCTTTTTGTCAGTGTTTTAACTTACGTTTTTACAATGTATATTCCTTTTCATTCTAATGTAGTGTTCCGAATGTATGTGCTCTAGTCTTATCAAAATGTATTTCATACATCCATGGTTTCTTGGCTGAGCACTGTTTTTAAATCATATCAGAAACTGTGGTCAAATCTCCCAATGTTATGAAATGAGACTATTTTGTTGTCACCCCAGGAGAAATGCAGTTGTATACAAAAGTATTTGATGATGTGATACCTTTTCCAGTCTCATTTGTATGTGTGGACCTGGCTTTCACATCGTCTGTTAAAATATCTTGTTGAGTTTCTGTTGGTAATTTATTTATTCTGTGTGTTCTGTTACCTTGTAAATATACTTTACAAAATATATTTATATGTACATGTGTGTATATTTCTAAAACTGAAAATACGGCATGTGTCTTTGCATATGTGATAAAAATATTTAATGCAATCATCAATACATTTACATTACTTTTTCACCTTCATTTTCACATTCAACAGGTACATAAAAAAGACATATCTTAATAATACTGTACTGTTTTCCTTTGTCATTTGATGATGACAAACCAACAAAACTTACAACCTACAAAAACATTGCATCATTCAGTCATACGTATCCAAAATAAAAGAGTAACCTTTGACAATCATACTTGAAGGAACCAGCCCAAATTTTGTGCCTAGTTGGGCGAGCCATAGAATCGGAACTGAACGCAAACATTTTCCAACACGTGAGGCTCTCCGACAACGCCAACCCGTGTCGCACAGGACATTTGTAAATGGAGGTTGCGTGCAACAGCGCAGCCGAGACTCGAATCAAAGCTGGTCGAGGAGGGAATTCCCGGGGTTCCTGGCCCAACCCAAAAACCTGTTGCCTTAAGTAAGGTGGCACAGCTCGGTGGTTTTCTCTGAAAAGCCTACCCCCAGTGCTGTGGGGGCTCAAGGTACCCCTTCCCCCTTGCATTAGGGGCAAACCTTGGTTTTTTGGCCCCCTTGTTTCGGAGAAGCCGCTGACGGTATTTGGAAATGGTGCTACCGCGCTACAGCATTGTGCTCCTGAAAGCAAAGTCCGAGATCATGAAAGGGAACTATCCCGTTTCGCCACATTAGTAGGCACGATGCACCACTGTCGGAAGGGTTGCCAACCTCCGCCTGCCGCTCCGTGCCGCTCACGTGAAGACACGCTAAGACAGGCAACCCTTTTGAAACTGACGCGTCGTGGGACTTTGCTTACGTATGTGGCTACACTAATGGTAACTAGGAGTAAAAAGAAGTCGCTTGGCAGCCTCGGCAGGAGACTTCCGGCTCCGGCAGGCCGCTTCCGCGGCTTCAAGCTTCACGGCAAGGCCCGCAGCATTTCCTTGAGCTCGCGACGCGCGATCTTGCCGGTCACGGTCTTGGGGAGCTTCTCCAGGAAGATGACGCCGCCGCGGAGCTGCTTGTAGTCGGACAGCTTGTCCGCCACCAGGGCCTTGACGTCGTCCTCGGTGAGAGCCTCGCCCTCCTCGTTGAAGGCGCGCGACACGAAGGCCGTCGGCAGGTCCCCGACGACGGGGTCCGACTTGCCGAGCACGCACGCCTCCTGGATGCCGGGGTGCTGCAGCAGTACCATCTCGATCTCGGCCGGCGCGATCTGGCGGCAAGCAGCAACCGTTCAAAGGCCTGCTTAAACCTGGAGAACTCCACACTTTGCGCTTCCAAGTGCGAAAGCCGAAAATTCCACACACCCGCATTTCAAGTGTAAATTCATCCACACTTGATTTCACATCGCGGTCTGCGCGGAACGCCTGGGCGGGCCGCACTCACCTGCAGGTTCTTGAACTTCATCATCTCCTTGATGCGGTCCACGAAGAAGAAGTAGCCGTCGTCGTCCTCGTAGACCAGGTCGCCCGTCTTGTAGAAGCCCAGCTCGTCGCACGCCTTGGCCGTCTCCTCGGGGTTGTTGACGTAGCTGTGCAGCAGGTAGGGCGAGCGCACGCGGGCCTCCCCCACCTTGTTCTTCGTGGACGCGGGGATGTCGTCGCCGGTGTCGGGGTCCACCAGCTGCCGGTCAAAGGGAAAACGGCAATCGTACGTGTCCGAGTGTGTGCCAGGCTGCCAGACCGAGAGCCTCAAACGCCACTCACCCTCAGCTCCACCCAGGGCACCAGCTTGCCCAGCGAGCCGTACGGTGCCGGCTCGGCGGACGTGGGTCCAAACACGAAGCCCGCCTCCGTGGCGCCGTACACCTGCACCACCTGCACGTTCAGGTCCTTGGCCACGCTCTCCTGCACCTCGGCGCTCGTCGGCGACCCGCCCACCAGGATCGTCTTGAGGCTGCTCAGGTCGTAGCGCTCGCGGTAGTGGCTCAGGTACAGCGACACGAACGCCACCAGCACGGCGGGCGCAGCCATCCACGTGTCAATCTGGCCAACGACAACGAAGGCAACGCCGGCAACGGTCAGGCAAACTCCAACAACCTCCTCCTCGCGAACGCAAACGCAGTGGGCCAGAAGACCGGGTGGAAGCGGTCAAAATCCTGGATAGGTTTTGGGCTCCATAGTCGATTAACAAGGCTCGAACCAAACCAAGCGTGAGACCCCACCAATGGATTCCCCATTCGGAGAGCAATCCATTGGTGGGGTCACACGCTTGGTTCGAGTCCTGTTTAGTGACTGGAGCTCAAAACGCGTCTAGTGTTTTGGCCGCCTGCGCCGGTCTTCTGGCAAATCCACTGTGCCGCGCGCGCCGTGCATGCTGACCTTGTACTTGTCGATGACCGACATGACCATGACGTCGTCCGTGGTGGAGCAGAACACCCTGGTGTTGGCGAAGATGATGCCCCGCAGCGTCTGCCACACGCCGGACACCCAGCACAGCGGCGACGAGATGAGCAGCGTCTGGTCGACGTCCATGTAGACGCCCTCGCCGTCGCGGGGCTGCATGACCGCCCTGGAACCGGCCGCACCGAAACGTCAACGCTCTCAGCCTTTGCTTCGCTTTCAAGGCGGCGGCCGCACCGAGCTGTCTTACGTGATGTTGTGGATGAGGAGGGTGTTGAGCGTGTCGCGCAGACGGACGCCCTTGGGCAGTCCGGTGGTGCCCGACGAGAACAGGACGAAGCCGACGTGCTCGGTGCGGTCCTCCCCCACGTCGGCGGCCTCGTACGTGTCCGGGTCCGGCGGCGGGTCCGCGGCCTCGCCCTTGCGCATCAGCTCCTGGAACGTCATGACGCCGTCGGGGGCGTCGCCGCGCAGCACCATGTGCGGCGCGCCCGGGTACGCCTCCCTGGACAGCGCCAGCTTGTCGGGCTCGGAGATGACCATCCGGGGCTGCACCAGCGTGAGCGCGTGGCGGAGCTCGGCTGCAGGGAGCACACGGCCGTCAATGCACTGTCAAACCAGGAGGGGAGAACTCCACACAGAGTGGACACTGCGGAGTCTGAAAATTCCACTCCTCTGCGTTTCAAGTGCGTGGAGTTCTCCACACTGGTAAGGGGAAAAGAACGAGGCAGCTCGAGACCGAGACGACGAGACGACGTACATGGCGTGGCGGTCGGGACGGCGCAGGCGACGGTCAGGCCGGCGACCATGGCGCCCAGGACCGCCGGGAAGGCCTCGTGTTGGTTCCTGGAGACCAGCGCCACGGTGTCGCCCTTGCCCAGCCCCGTGAGCCTCCAGCCCTCGGCCGCCAGCACCGTCTGCACCAGCAGCTCCTTGAACGACATCGCGGTGCCGAGGTGGGCGTCAACCTGCAAGCAACCAGTGTGTCAAACCCACTGCTAGTGCGGAGAACTGCACTGCACACTTCCCGGCCCGGTGGAGTAGTTCTCCACGTGTGGAGTTTGCAGTCTCTTGAGGGTGGAGTAGCTCACAGAGCCCCTTGGCAGCTCAGGAAGGATCAAGTCTCGAAAACTGAATCGCGCGACTCGGAATTCGGGGTTATAGTTCATCGCGCGGTGACTGCAAACTCAGAACTTTTTCAAGTGTGGAGGAAAATTCGACACGACATTCGATCTTGCATGGTGTAATCCTTTCCATGTCTTGCTGTTCGTACAAGCATGCACTCCGATATTGATCGTGCGCTCGCCCTCGGGGACCTTGGCCGTGTGCCTTGGCCATGTCTCGAGGCTTCCCTCCGAGTCTTCAATAATTTCGTCGAAGCCGGCGGCCGGCGGTCAAGGCGAAGCGGGACAGAGCTGATTCCGAAAGGGGAATGTTGTCGCCGTGTCTCTCTCGCACTCAAGGCGCGTCCCGCACGAGCGTGAGAGAGAGACGGAGCGAGGACTCACCTGTGACGGCCGCGTGAGGTGCTGGTGCTGGCGGAGGGCCTCCAGGACGAGGGCCCCGCAGGACAGCCCGCGGTCGGGCGCGCCGTCCCCGGTGTAGCGGATGTGGGTCGTCATGGCCTCCTCGGGCTCGGACTCGGTCTCGACGTCCGACAGGGCGCCCTGCGGACAGCCAAGGTCGAAGGCCCGCTGCATCAGCTGATGGTGATCGTGCCTTCCCGCCAACATCTCAACGTTAGCGTCGTCGCTCGGGACACAAGTGGGGCACGCCGGACAAGGAGCTCTAGGCGTCTTCGGGGACCTCCTCTGTCCTGGCCCTGCCTGCACTGCGTAGCCCTGCCGACGAGAGCGAGCGAGTCCAGTCCGCGCTGCGGCTGCGAGTGTCTGCGGACCGCGCCGCTGCGACACTCAGATGTGGTGTAGAGGCTGGGTGTGCTGGGCGACGAGACGAGCTGGCTGCTGGGGCGGCGGCGCGGCGAGCGATGGCCTTGCCGCCTCGCCGGCAGGGACAAGCAGTCAGGGACAGTGGCGGATCTAGGGCCGGCCCAACGCAAAAGTTGCCTACCTACAGGGGCTAAGTGGGGCTAAGGGCGACGCCCCCATCGCCCCCCCCCCTCCCTGGATCCGCACCTGGCAACACCATTGAACCGCCAACGGACTTGGACTGTAAAACACAGGACTTTCGGAATGCGCAATAAGAGGGAAAACACGTGATGATTTTTTTTTACGGGAGGAGGGAGGGTCTACGGGTCTGCGGTCTTCCGATTACGACCTATCAGTGTGCAATGTCCAGGTGCGCACCGGACCTACCTTGAAAATCCATCACTGGCAAGTACAGTTAACGTGCGAGCGAAGTGGCGCTCTGGGCGTTTTCAACTCGCGAGGAGCAAGCGCCAATTTTCCAGCACGTTAACCTACCATTCAGTGGCGACTCGGTTCCGAACGCGCTGTCTCACTCTTGCGTTTCAATTGCAGCTCTCCTAGTTTTGGACCGAGGCGCCGTACAGTCTGCCGATGCCCCGGCCGATGCTCATCCACGCGTGGGAGAGAAAGAGCCCCGCTGCCGGTCTGGCGGGGCGGGACCAGGTCGGAAACTGATACGCGAGATGACTCTGCAAAAATAAGCTCGGCCGAGAAGTGGGATCGCATCACGACCTTCGGACCGGAGCGTGGCGTGAGCGGGTGAGGGACCAGGGATCGAGCCTCACGCGACTACTATGCGGCGCGACTAGGCGGTCTTTGCACCGCCCTGCGACACACAGCCCGGCTCGGCCCGGCACGGCCGGCCTCGATCCTGGTCCTGTTGCGCGGCACCGCGTCTTGTGTTTTCGATGTCTCGCTCGCCGGGAGGCTGGAGGCTGGCTGGAGGCTGGCTGGAGGCTGGCTGGAGGCTGGCTGGAGGCAGGCTCCTGAGGTAGGACCTGGCCCCACAGTCGCGGCGCAGCGTGACGGTGCGGGAATTCTCGTGCGACTCGATGGATCCTCCTCGGGAGATTATTTATCACAAAACACCAGTGCACTATTCTTTATCACTCTTCATTTTCGCCCACGGGAGAAATACGGGCTCATTTCGGCACTGTCAAACCAAGTGTCGAGAGCTCCACACTTTCTGCTGCGGAGTTTGGACGTGTGGAGTTTTTCACAGAGCCCCTATGTTTTGCATTTGGCACGGTGTGAACGTGGTGAACTTCACACTGGAAGTATGGAGACTGCAAACTCTGCAATTCCATTGCAAAGTCCACACCTCCGCTTTCAAGTGTTTGGTTCCCCACGCTTGCTTTCCACTCCACTTGCTGGGCCCTGTCACGCGCATGACCTACGGGGTAGTACGCCAGGAAAAAGCCCCCTGACTGTCACACGGAAAATCGAAAACGGCGAATGGTTGAGGAACAATCAAACCGTGCATAGAGCGTGATCGCAGTACACAAGGACCAGTATGAGCACACTGCACTAGAAAAAGTCCTTCGCCAGTACATTCCCCGAACTCAGTACGATTGCGTGGTGTCTACATACTCTGCTTAAGCGTTATGCAAACATGGTAAATCATGTCAGCCCCTTCTCCTCACTGAAGCCGTGTTGGCTTTTGACTCGAAACAGCTTGGGTCACAAATTAATGATCCACTGCTTTTCTGGGCGCCGACTAAACGTACACCAGACGAGGGGTGAATTACTCGGCGTTCTGGTGCATAAGTACGTGAGTACGGGTGAGTACACCTTAAAAAAAAAAAACTCATAAATTTCACATTTTTTAAACGTTTAAAGGCTTTATTTAGTGTTTCAGACAATACGCAACACCAAATCTTACTTAAAACTAGCGGAGGTTGCTAAATTTTAACTTCTGACTTCACCACGGGCCAATTTGTACACACGAGTTCACTAGTTATTCACCCCTCGACGCCAGCGCCAGACATCACCGCCGTACTTTCTGACACTCTCTTATTGCCTCAGCTGTGAAAAAACTGTTCTTAAATTTGTTTTTCATTGACAAAAAGAACCTAAGAGAAGGGAAAAATGAAGACACTTCTTTTTCGGGCCTGCCCTAGGGCAGTGTGCACTTCAGCGAGAGACGCCGGATATAGGTGAAGCGCACTTCGGGTTGCACATGCCGGTTCGCCGCCAAAGACGCGATTAATCTCCTTCTTATCTGCGACGGAGAGGAGAAATTACTCATCTTTTTCTCTTTCTCTGGGTAAACACTGGCCGGCCTTGAGGACGCATTGCTGCGTGAGCCAGTCGGACGATCGTGGCTGCACTTTGTTCGCGGAATAATAAGGCACGTGCGAAGGAAGCTATACAGTTTGGCAGCGAGCTGTGCAACCGCCTGCGCACTCACGCACTGCACTGGTACACTTTCGTCCACTGCCAGCCACTGGAAGGAAAAGTGCGGGAAATGTACTGAATTTGTCTTTTCAACAATTTGCCCGGACCGTCCGTACTTGCTAACTACTTTTTTTTCCGTACCGATTTGGGTTTACATGAGTTCATATGCGGACACTCCGTACTTTTTTCTGTACCTCCGTACTTCATTCTTCTATACATTTTTCCGTAGCAAAGAACGGAATTTTTAACAGTGAATACTGCCACTAAAGAAGCCACTTCTGACAATTACTCTGGTTATTGTAACACTGTGAAACGAAATCGTTGACAACTCCACACAGGGGTAAAATTAAAGCGTGGTATTACCTGGTGTGGGGTGCTCTTTCACTCTTGGAAGAGCAGATTTTGCAGTCTCCACACTTCAAGTGTACAGTAGCTCACAGAGCCCCTATCTCTTTGCATGGTGGAAACGTGGACAACTCCACACTTGAAGTGTGGAGACTGCAAACTCTGTACTTCTTAGTGTGGAGACTGAAAATTCCACTCCTCCCGCATTTCAAATGTATGGAGTTCTCCACGTTTGTTTTCACAGTGTATTGTAAGCTAGTTGTGCTGTGACAACTGGAACTTGCTTTGTGAAAACGGTTTTTTTTTGCCAGAACAAAACGCATTTGCATTGTTGATAGGGGCTTTTCTTCGGCCAACAAAAACACAGCACTCCTTGCACGTTTCACGTTGCACAGTGGCAACTACCAAGTTCAGCTGTCACATAAAAACTCGGTTCACTCGGTTCACCCGGTTCCACCCCAACCTATTGATTATTTTCGCGCTCATGCAAAGTGCAAGATATAGAAGTGCGCCACCGACCTGGCGTGCGTGCTGGACTCTCGTCCACTCCCGGTGGAAGTACCCGGAAGTCGCGACGTCGGCGAGTGGACTCGCTGAACCTGCCTAGTCCGGACCACAGCTGCTCAGGCACTAAACGCGTCCTGGATCGCTGCGCATGGCTAGACCACGATCGTTGGAGGAGCGGCGGGCAAGGGGGCCGGGGAAGGGGTCAGCTCCTCCAGGACGGCCGGACGGACAGCGATGCCATGACCACGTCAATTACGCCATGAAGAATGCCCCAAAGTGGCTTGTAAAATATTTACTCGTTTTCGGGGACGGAAAAGAGGCGGAGACTTCTTGAGTCCTGCCCTCTACTCGGGGACGTGCACGGTCGAATGGGAAACTTCGAAGAGTGGGAAACGGAAGTTGAGGAAGTAATGTAGATCAAAGTTAGCGAAGTTCTACACTGCAAACCTAACTGTCTATTAAGTACACACTTACAAATGCATGCTTGCAAGTACACAATTACAAACGCATGCTTGGCCAAGTACACACTTACAAATGCATGCTTGCAAGTTCACACTTGAAAACGCACGCTTGACGCATGGAGTTATACGGCGTCAAGCATGCGTGTACTTAGTAGACAGTTAGGTTTGCAGTGTAGAGAGTGAGCGTCTGCGTCCCCGGAATATTTCTTCTGAGTACGAATATTCATAGCATTTTCATTGTAAGATAAGATACAAAGAAAAACCTTCGTAAATACGAAGAAAAAACGCCTTCGTATTATGCTTGCGCCATTTCCTTCGTATTACGGGAAATTTCTTCGTAAGGCATTTAGAGTGCAGCTCTTCTTCCAGTAATCCTATTCCTCCGAAACGTTCCTGGCAGACGAAGAAAACAGCGGCTTCTTTGTAATCAAAGACCACTTCCAGTGTGTTGATCACATAAGTGTCGTGGGCCTAGACCGAAGACTTGGCAGCCTCTGGCACCGCACTAAGAAAGAAAAGCAGCTGGTTATAACTAGAGGCCTAGTTATAACTAAGTATTTTGAGCATACATAAGCTACAAAGAAAATACTTCGTAATTTACGAACTATTTCTTCGTAAGGAAATTAGTTTGTTTTATGAATGCTCAAAATACGTCGTAAGGTTTTGAGCGTGCGCTGCTCCTTCCCGTACGCCTGGCAGGCTCTGTGTCGCGTCTGTGTGGACGCGAGCCAGGCGGGCGTATCCCATCGTGCCGTGTCGTGCCGTGCCTCGCGTGCGAAGAGGCTGACCACGTCGCGTCCTCACCACCATCATCCGACTTGCTGATGTCGCCTCCAAATCAAGCACACCACTGCAATCCAACAAACGTGACGTCACATCCGTTCGAACGTGAACTTTGTCGCGGTCGCTTGAATGCGGTGTCACATTTGCTGACGCGTGACACGGCCGTTTATGATAAGGATGTCACATTAAAACGGACGAGACAGCAGTCACATTCGTGGAGTGCAAACCTAACCTTTGCGCAGCCCCGCGCCCTTTGCCGTGAAGCGAAATCTTATCTGCGCCAAGCCTTCCCTGGAAAGGACATCGTCCCCGGGCCGGGGCACGAATCCCCAATTGAGAGGTCTAATTTTCAGAAATTACGACATGACTCCAAGACCAAATTTGAAAGGAGCTAGTCGGTGATTGCGGAGTCGCCTGGTCTTAGTACGCCTGTGAAGTCGGGGTGGGCCAGCCCGGAGGACGGGTGAGTGCTGCGGGTCTGCCTAAAGGATTGTTTGCTTTGCGTCTGATGAGCAGTGTGTGCGCGCCGTGCGCGCTGTGAACCGCCAAGCGTCTGAGTCCAAGGACGGCCCGGGCCCACGGCGTGCGCCACTGACACACCAAATTCGTGTCATTTGTTGGTTTCTCAGTATGTCGCAAGCTGCGCACGCAGATTCGCCGAGAGTCAAGCTGATTTGGACGGTTCGTGCATTCCTCCAAGGGTCACGCACCCCTTCTCGACGTGGCTGTCCGCAGTGCGGGAAGCGTGGCGTTAGTCGACACACAACAGGTCATCGTGACGCCCAGCACCCAGCGCTGCGTGACAGCCGAGGGGCACGCCGCCCATCACGCGTGCGCCCGCGTCGGGCTGGCTGCCTTTCTGCCTGTCTGCCTGCCTGCCTGCCTGCTTGCCTACCTGCCTGTCTGCCTGCCTGTCTGCCTGCCTGCCTCTCTGCCTGCCTGCCCGCCTGCCTGCCAGGCCCCAGTCGCGGTATAGTCGTCGCGTCTCTGTACAATCACTGGTTGCCGCTCAGCTATTGCTGAGAGGCCCCGTTCAGCCGAGCGGCAGCAGAGCCCGCCTCTCGGAACGTACCTGCTCCTCCACCAGGTCCGCGTTGCCTCCACACACGACGATGGCACCCATGGCGTGCTGCTTCGCGTCTAGCCTCCTCGCCGCTTGCCTGGCGTCCAGCAGTCGGGCGCGTCAAGCCGTGTGCTTTCGAGGCAGCCCTGAGGCAGCCCGCCACGCGACCCACCGAACCCAGTCCAGCTGTTACAAGTCGAGTCGCCCGCTGCCCCTTGCGTGCGCTAGCGTGCCGTGAGCAACGGGGAAGAACTGCCGTGGACTGGCGCAGGCCGGCCAGCCCTTCGTCGTCCTGTCCTTCTCGCACCCCGCGAACGCCTCATTCGTGTGAGAGCGAGATAGAGTGACAGGGTTGTTTGGAACCAACCTGCTAGCAAGAGGGCCTGAGCACTGGTGACCATTTGCATAGCAGAGGGGCCAATTGTATAGTTTCGATCAGTGCACGGAGGAGCTGGGGAAGCAGAACTTCTCGAAGTGTACTTCAACAAGGCTAAGTAGCCTTTCATCGGCGAAGCGGTGACCAGGACTCAATCGATACAGAAGATTAAGAGTGTGGAAATTTTAAGTATGGTTCAAAAGTTTGAAATCTTAACTGTTCAGTTATCCTTTTTTTTTGTCTAAAGCTTTGTCATGACAGTCTGGTTTATGAAAGAATGGTTCATTCTACTCAATTTGAAAATACAAAATTTTTGTCTTGTGAGTCGAAGAGGAGAAATGAGAAATCGAAAGAAATAGTTTTATTCTGTGAGCCATTATTTAGAAATCGTACATAGGCGGATTGACCATCAAGCTTAACTGCTAAAAACATAGTAACTCACTAACTCTTGTACCCTGTACCGTGTACTTACGCCAATTAATTTATTTTGTACAACATTGCATCGGGGTGTCTGCATCTTCTTGCACTGAAATGGGTCATTTTTTTTTAAATGTTACAATTTGCCGTTTCAAACTTGAAAATTGAAAGTTGTCCGAGTTTTTAAATATATTGGGCTTGTTTTTATATCTTGGCATGCACAATGCGAAAACAAAATCGAGCGTTACGAGATTCTAGGGAAACGGATTTCCGCAAAATTTACACCGTTCCACGGGCGTAAATCGTTAGTTTACGCTGAGCATATTTTTTTTCCTTTGTTTTACCAGTGCAGCTTCAAGGTTTACATTTTGCACCTTCTGGAGGTCTCAGTCACCTAAGACCTCTCCTGTAATCCCTAAACCTCATGGTGGATCCCTTCGAAGCACCAGAAGCACGATTTATCGAGTTAATCTTTTGGTCGCAATGCACTCTAAATGTCTTACGAAGAAATTTCCCATAATACGAAGGAAATGGCGCAAGCATAATACGAAGGTGGTTTTTCTTCGTATTACGAAGGTTTTTCTTTGTATCTTACAATGAAAAAGCTAAAAAGATTCGTATTACGAAGGAATATTGCTTCGTATTATGCTTGCGCCGATTTCACTGTAACATACGAATAACATAGGTCAAATTTCATTGTAAGACATTTAGAGTGTGGGTCAGGAACTTCAAACTGTACCATTTCTGGAGAATGACTTAAATGAGTTCCGAAACACGAAAACGGCAAGTGCCTGCAGCTCTGCAGCCTTCTTTGGCCCTTTACATGCAGGCTTGTATTTTCGTATGATTGGGTCATCCATAGCAACCATCAGACATTTTATCAGAAAGCAATATTGCTCCTGCAACAGATAAACAGAACGATGAGTCACGTGCACGAACTAAACGATGAGCATGTTGATACCTCCCAGCAAATGAGAGCCATCTTTGGTCTAAGAGGCCCCTTTCAGCTGGAAGGCGTCGAGGTAGCCGTCCTCATGAAGCTGCTGTGCTCAGCTGTGCCTGCACTGCCCTCACCTGACTCTGCACCATGAACGGCCGCTGCTCTCTCAGATTCAACACAACGCCAAAGACATCGATTTTCCTCTTGGTCTTAATGCACTGCAGCAGAATGTCCAAGGCTATGAGGGTCCCGGTCCTGCCGACACCAGCGCTGCCGGCCAAACAAAGGAAGATTCGATAATAACAACAACAGCGCCTTCGCACGGAGCGCGGTAACGGTCGTGGTGACTTGGAGGCCTGTAGCGCCTTTGAGCCACCCTCCGGTGCCGAGGGGCAAGGTCTCCACACCTTGCAGTGGGGACACGCCCACGGCCTACCTGCAGTGCACAGCGATCATGCCGGGGAACAGCAGGGCCTGGCGGCGCAGCGTGATGCAGAACTGCAGTACGTGCTTGGGAGACGCGGGGCAGCCGAAGTCGGGCCACTCGCGGAAGTGCAAGTGGTTGACCGTCCGCTTCTCCGAGCCCTGCAAGCCACAAAAACATTTCCTGGTTTTCCTAGGACCCCTAGGACTTATTAGGCCGAGGGGTCGGCAACTTCCCTTGGCCCTGTACGAGGGAGTATACGTATATTACCAGTAATATAGGTAATATATGTGTAATATAAAGTAATACAAAGTAATATATAGTAATATAGGGGTATTATAGAGGCGAAAACCGTGCAGCACCAGCCGTGCCGCCGGTTAGCGCACGGTAGCGCCTAGGAGGTAGACCACCCAACGGCCGCCCTGCTCTGTTAGCGCACGGCAGCGCCTGCCTCGACTCGTCAGGGAGACCACTCGCCTACGAGCACCGGACCGGGCGGCTCCGGGCGGCTCCGGGCGGCTCCGGGCGCCCAAAAGGTATTTTGAAAGAAAGGGTGGCAAATGGTTCATAATTTGAAACGACTGTGAAAAATGAGCCGGCGACGGGGGTGTGCTACCGTAATACGTTTGAGTGCCACTGCAGTGGCATGCCCCACCTTGGTCAAGACGATGGTCCTGAGCGTGTAGAACTCCAGGTCGCTCTGCACACAGGTCGCCACGGACAAGTCGGCCCACGTGAAGCGGTCCTCCAGCTCCGGGTAGTACTGGTGGCACTTGGTCTGCGGAGGGGAAACGAAACGGGCATTTCTCAGAGGGCTGTGCGATGCCGCCTGCACTGCACTGCACACCCAACACCGCTGCAGCGCGCGGACTCGCCTTGCCGTCCTCCACCAGGTTAGTGAGCATCACGACGGTGCGCACGTTGTTCTCCCACACCATGAACCAGAAGTCCTTGGTCGTGCTGTCCTTGGGGCCCTGCGCCGCGATGTACTCCGGCCAGCCCGAGAAGCCCTGCGCGGTGGAGGAGGAGGTCGCGGTCAATGGCAGTGTTGCCAAAAGCGAGGCAACGCCAATACTACTCCCTTCGTGGACGAGTGGAGGAGTTTGCCGTCTCCACACTTTAAAGTGTGGAGATTGGCTAAATCTCTTGGCACAGCGCAGAAAACTCCACGTGGAGAACTCCGCACTCTCTCGCACAGTGCTCCTAAGATCGATATGACTTCTCTGACGGGCCCTCACCGTGATAAAGGATGCGTTGATGTAGTTGGAGACATCATCGTCCTCGTCAAAGTTGAGCAGGCGGACTCTGTTCTTGTCGACTGCAGCTCACAGAGAATGCAGAGAATCAAAGACATGAACTGCGGGAGGAGAGCAGTGGCGTGGACGCACGTGGCGGTGGACCAAGGTGGACTCACACGGGATGACGTTGGAGTATCGGTTCTTGGAGGCGTTCATCGGCAGATGCCCCGCCCTGCTCGGCGTGCTGGCGGCCACCTGGCTGCTGAGGGCGCTGAGGGCCTCGAACTGCCTCAGTAGCTGCAATCGTCACGCCACAGTTATCGCTCATTCGCAAAGTTCCGTATCAAACGAAAACAAAAAGGGAAACCCTTGGGAAAACGACGGTCAAACCCGAGTCAAACCCGAACTCTGCGCTTCCTGGTGCGCTTCCGCGTAAGGAGTTTTTAAGTATCCACCCTTACAAACTATTTTGAGCCTTCCAATGAAAAGTAGCTTGTCATAACAAAGAATTTTGAGCATAAGCTTACAAAGAAAAATACTTCGCAATTTACGAACTTAGGACAGTCCTGAAAACGGGCGGCCGGCTCATAAAAACGCACCTCCAGGACGGCCCTGGAAGTTTTGCCTTTTCCACCAGGACCGTCCTGGAATCGGATCCTCCGTAACCTTGAAGCCCTTCGGTCCTGGTTTTTGTTGGAGGCGTTTTTACCATGCACCTCCGCGTTGTGCAGTCCTTGGTTTGGCAGTGTACCTGGGGGCTCTTGTTGTCCCGCAGCATGTCCTCGTACAGCAGGCGGAACTGGCGCTTAGTGACGGGCTCCGGCACCCCCGTCCACGCACGGTCGTTGTGCTTGATGCTCCCCAGGGCGGAGTCCGGGCGTTCCGGGCCGCGCGGCAAGGCGCGGCGCGCGCTGGGCTTGGGCTGGCCGCCGCAACGCCCGTTGCGGCGTCTGCCAAAGACAAAAACCAGTTACGAGTGTGAGGCCTGCGATCTAATTTACAAATAGCGTGCAAGGCATAGCGAACGCTCCTGAAAAACAGTACAGGCCCGGCACTGTGTTCCTTTACCGCTCTCTGCAGTATTTGACGAAAAGGATCAAGTTGATGGCAGCCAGTGGAAACGCGCCGTACACCACGTATTTCAAAATGTCATGGTTGTCTGGAATGAGCAAAAGCAATACTCGTGTAGATTTTGTCAGAATGTCAGAAACATGTTGGAAATCCTGAACGAAATTCGCGCACCTCTGAAAGCTGGAGAGAGAGAGACAGAGAGAGAGAGAGAGAGAGAGAGAGAGAGAGAGAGAGAGAGAGAGAGAGAGAGAGAGAGAGAGAGAGAGAGAGAGAGAGAGAGAGAGAGAGAGAGAGAGAGAGATTGTCGGAATGCTTACCTCCCCAAGAGGGGTTGCCGCCGGCCACCGTGACGGCCACGAGAGGCGCGGTCACGACCATCCGGGGCACGGTGAGGGCGGCCTGCACGTGGACGGAGTACACCTTGCCCGGCGTCAGGGGCCTGTTGCAGTACAGCGAGGCGTCGGGGCTGTCTGAACTGGCAGTGCTGGCAGTGCTGGTGGTGCTGGCTGAGGTGGCGGTGCTAGCGGTGCTGGTTGTGCTCGCAGTGCTGGCATCAGCGCTGTTGCAGGCGTTCTCGCTGCCACCGATGACGAACGTCACCTTGTTGGATTTCTTGCCTGGGCCCAGAAATACAGGACTGCATCGCGGTTGCCGCGCGACAGCTGACGGCCGAAGGCGTCGCGGCGTCGCGGCACCAACCTTTGAACGGGTTCCAGCGCTCGCCCGTGGCCCTGAAGGGCGGCTCGACGCTGGCGACTGCCAAGCCCCTGGTCCACTGCTGCGTCTGCGGCCTCTGCAGGACCAGGTCCTCGATGTCGCAACGCTTGCCCAGCTCACTCTGGCCCTCCGTGACGATGATGCGGTAGTAGTCGGGGCCGGCCCGCGACGACACGAACAGGCTGCTGGAGAAGGACACGGCCACCTGCCCGTCCCCGCCTTGCACGCACGTCGCCGAGACTCCGGGGTCGCGCGGATTCGAATCTGGTTCAAGTGTCCGCGTGAGAATGCTTTTCCGACTTACTAACCAACGGCGACCTCTGTCGTACCGAGAAACGGTACGATGTACTCCTTGCTGGTGGACGTGCTCTTGTAGTAGTCGTTCTTGGCCGAGAGGGTCACCACCATCGTGGAGTTCTGCGCGTAGCACCAGTCGAAGCGTCGGTCGTTAAAAGGGATCCTGAAGGTGCCGTCCGCGCGCATGTACTGCAACGGAAAGCCCAGGGTTCACAGCGGCGCACAGCGGCCACCCTGAACCCCGAGCCCTTTGGCCAATTCTGAGACATCCAGGCCCGCTGTTCCGGGGCAGAGCAGGCTTGCCTGTGGCTAACCCACTCCCTGACTTAGAAGCGAAACACCTTCGACTCTTTGCCCCTCACCGTTTGCCCTCCACCCTGTGCCCTCCACCCTGTGCCCTCCACCCTGTGCCCTCCACCCTGTGCCCTCCACCCTGTGCCCTCCACCCTGTGCCCTCCACCCTGTGCCCTCCACCCTGTGCCCTCCACCCTGTGCCCTTGTCCGTACCGGGTCGATGCTGAATCCCTGCGTGATTGACGGGAGGCCCTCTCCTTCCTCGAAACTCAGGCTCGCTTCGTACCAGCTGAGCTGTCCGCCGTTGGCCTCGCACGGTGGGTACCCCACGATGGACAGCGCCGAGGTGGTCTGGCCGTCGTGCAGTGGCGCGCTGGCTGAGTCCACGATGTCAAACGAGAGCGGGCTGGGCGCTGTCGACCACAACCATTTCACAACGTTGCCTCTATGGCACTGTGCTCCGCGAGAGAAAAGGGAAGTTGTGGCTTTCATTTTGATGCTATTGTCCGCCTTGATAGAGGGTCCCCAGTCCCCACCCTACCCTCTGTATATCTATTTTATAACAACAAGACAAACTAGTGTTAAGCATGTTGTAGGTTCAGGCTCGAAACTCGCAAATCTTAATCACCTTTTAACGGCACTATATTCCGTTAGATTTCTACCATCGCAAAATTGATTTATATTCCCCTTTTTTACAGTTCATATGCATACAAGGTATCAACAGTTTCGAAGGCACAGTGGATTTCGGTTCCCAGCTAGAGAATTTCCGTGTCCTGTGATCACTGAGAACGAAAAAGTCATGATCATTACCCAATTTTGGGTGAGGAATTCTTCCTCACCCAAATTTGGGTAATAAAGAATTCCTCGCCCAAAATTTTAGTCATGATCATGACTCCTTTGATACTAAGTGATACAGTGACTGCATCCCTCGGTACAGTAGGGAGCCTCTTCAGGGTACAGTGCATCAAAATCAACAGTCACGGCCTTAAGTTTTCTCTGGCAGCGTGGCGCCGTGTGGCGCAGACTCACCCTTGGGTGGCATGCTCATAGCCCAGCCAGGGCTGCGCAGCCCACTGCTGCCAGTGGCACTGGTCGTCGCCTCCACCGTTAGAACGAACAGCCCTCCGCCGGGCAGGAAGCGCTTCAGGCCCCCGCAGCACAATGGCCCGGCGGGGGCGTAGAAGCGGTACTTGCCCTCGCGGGGACGCAACGGGCAGGCCGGGTCGAGCGAGGGCGGCGGCGTCAGCTTGGAGTACTGGGAACTGGAAACGAGAGTTGAATAACGTAACAAAAGTCGATAATAATGAAGACTTTGATCTCGCATTGGGAGTACCTGGCATGCACCAGGTACGAGGTGCCAAAGTCACTGCCCGAGTCCGTCCAATGAAGTTCGTCATAGTACGTGTCGTACATCGGCATACCGATGGAACCTGGCAAGGCGAAATCAGAATGTCGGCATGCCACGGCCAAGCTCCGCCCCAGCCCAGCCCCACGCCCCCAGCCCCACGCCCACCCCAGCCCACACGCACGCCCAGCCCCACGCCCCCAGCCCCACGCCCCCAGCCCCACGCCCCCAGCCCCACGCGCCCAGCCCCACGCCCCTGCCCCCTTACCGTTGTTTTCGGCGGTAGTTGTGAAGAAAGTAAACTCCGAACATTGCGACTGCGCTTTGAAGTCCCGGCTGACGTGCTTGGCGACGCAGCCGTAGAAAGAGTTAGGCGTGAGGTTTTCCAAGAACACCGAGGTCCTCGGAGCCCCAGCCTTCGGCACGCGTATTCTGGCGAAGAAGTCGATGTACGAGTGCGCGTTGGTGGGGCTAACTCCACACCACACCTACGAGGGGCAGGATTTCGTTTGACTTCACAGCACGGTAAAAAATGTTATGGGGCATTTTTTTTGGTCACACGAGCTACGCAATTTTAAGCACATCCGACGGTGCTAAAATTTTCGCATACCTGGACATATGCCTACGTAAATTGACCTCATGGTGTTGACCGCCAGCCACGGCCGCCTAGTGCAGCCCAACTTGGCGTCCAAGCCCCAATACTTGCAGATGCGTTTGACGCCGCTACGCCTACTTTACCCCGGTCGACTTGGCACGCGCCTTCCACGCCCAACGTCGGCCAGCTCAGCAGAGCCTGCCGCGGACGCACGCTGGCGGCGTTTCCAAGGGCCCGGTCGTGGGCTACGGGCTCAAATTGGGTGTGTGGTTACGGACGGGCTACCGGTCATTAGCTATTTTAAGCACCTGACGGTGATACAACCGGATACAATATGTACAGTAATTGAATTATTCTGGCACAGGCCAGATGACCTTTGGGTTTAAAAGCGTCCACACTTGTGTAAATCTTGTCAGAACGTTAGAAACCTGTCTGAAAACCTGATAAAAATTCTCGCACCTCTGAAAGCTGAAAACGTATTCTGACATTCTGCAGAACTCGGGACATTAATTTGAGAATAAGTTTTCAGAATTTTAGCTTTCAGAAGTGCGCGAATTTTGACCAGGATTTCAAACGTGTTTCTGATATTCTGACAAAATTTATACGAGAGCCAGGTGCTAACGAACGCACAAAAAAAGCTTACAAAGCGTGTGCTTTGGAACTACAAAGAAAATGAAGGCATTGTAGAATTGCGTAGTATTGTGAAGAAATGCTTCGCATTACGAGGGATTTTGTTTCGTAATTCAAGCATTTCTTCGTAGATTTTACACCACCAACTCAGTGGTCGGTGTGTGCCTCACCGATCCAGGCAGTCTGCTGGGCTGGCAGCCCGCCGTCGGTGTGCTCGCTGCGCGCCTCGACGGTCGCTTGGACCTTGGTGGGCTTCCAGTAGTCGGTGCGCATCGGCACGTCGACGCAGGTTTCTGTGTAACCTAGGCCAGCCTCGACGTCCCACGACCCGTCGTCATAGTCCGTCTCAGGCGACTCCCCGTCGAACACCGGGCAGAACGTGCCATAGCTGTTTGGACAAGGAGCTCGGTTACAAATTAGAGTAGCGTTGGCAGGATGGCAAATTATTTAAAAATAGAAACCCAAGGGAACGAAAAATATTACTCTTTGGCTGTGAGGGTCGTCTGTTTCGAGGTGTCGAACTGCCATGATTCTGAAAGGATAGCAATTGAAAATGGTGACACGTGCATGGTGGTAACTTGTTTTCGCCAAAAGGAAAACCAGAGGGGAAAACAACTTTGAAATAATTTGCGCACCGTTAATTAAAATTCACACTGAGAATGAAAGAGTCATGATCATGACTAAAATTTTGGGTGAGGAGTTCTTTATTACCCAAATTTGGGTGAGGAAATTTTCCTCGCCCAAATTTGAGTGAGGAAAGTTTCCTCACCCAAATTTGGGTCATAATACTATGGAGCTAGATAGGGAGCTGATACACCCTTCCTCACCCAAAATTGGGCGAGGAACCATTTCTCGCCCAAATTGGGCGAGGAAACGTTCCTCGCCCAAATTTGGGTGAGAAAGTAAACCTCGCCCAAAATTGGGTATTGATCATGACTTTTTCATTCTCAGTGGCAAGTTACACGTTATTTCACGTTCGACATTTTCGACGCTGTTTCAACGTTATTCCAACGTGATTTCACTTTACTTCAAAGGAAAACGTACGCATTAATTGAAGTTGTTTCCCCTCTTGAAGATAACTAAACGGACAAAAATGAACAATATTCTCCAGCTTCAAACAGTTTGGCGATGGTTCGTTAGAAAGCGTATCCTATTTAGCCTGTCCTATCCTCACCTGCGATATTTTCACAGACTACACACGTTGGTACGCATGGCTCGTCGCTCGTGGAGTCGCCCGGCGTCGTGGACGGGGTGGACGGGGTGGACGGGGTGGACGGGGTGGGCGGGGTTGACGGGGTGGACGGGGTGGGCGGGGTTGACGGGGTTGACGGAGTTGACCGGGTGGACGGGGTTGACGGGGTTGACGGGGTGGGCGGGGTGGACGGGGTGGGCGGGGTGGACGGGGTGGGCGGGGTGGGTGGCGTAGGTGCCGTGGGCGAGGTAAGCGGGTTGAGCGATATGGGTGAGGTAGTTGGGGTGGGTGAGATGGGAGAGCTAGGTGGGGAGGGCGATTTGGTTGAGGTAGGCGGGGTGGGCGAGATGGGTGAGCTAGGTGAGGTAGGCGATTTGGTTGAGGTAGGCGGGGTGGGCGAGATGGGTGAGCTAGGCGTGGTGGGCGAGGTGGTTGAGGTAGGCGGGATGGGCGAGATGGGTGAGCTAGGCGTGGTGGGCGATTTGGTTGAGGTTGGTGGGGTGGGCGAGATGGGTGGGGTATACCAGGTCCAGGTGGGAGATGTGGTCGAGTCATGCGATGTCGACGCCTTAGGCGAGGTATGCGGTGTATGCGGGGTATTCGGGGTGCGCGGGGTACGCAGGGTAGGCTCCTCAGGCGATCTCCTCGAGGTGTGCGGGGTCCCCGCCGAGGTCCTCGGGTCAGGCAGCATGCCCACTGTCCCCACGCTGGCCCCCCGGCGACGTCTTGGTCTCGACAGCATCGTTGGAGATGGAGAACTGCAGAGTTTGAAGTTGCCGGTGCCGGCGTCGGTTGGGCCGTCGCTGGAGGTGGTGGTGGGAGGCTCTGTGATGCCCGCGTCGGGAGCGTTCGGGGGCAAGGGGTCGTAGTGGTCCATGCACAGCTCGGCGTTGTGCTCCAGCGTCACCTGGTAGTGGCTCACGCAGGACGCCATCTCCAGCGGGGGCTGCCAAGTCATGCAGATTGTAGCCTTGCCGGTTGGAAGCAGGCTCGTCTTTATCTGCAGGTTCCTCGGCTCGCTCGGTTCTGTGCCGAAGTATGGGGGTTCGAACACCAGAGCAGCAGAGACAAGTGCGCGACAACTAACTCCGGCACATTCATCGCAGCGCGATGGTTGTACCCCGGTACATTCATTGTGAGGGTATATCCATCGCAGAGAACAAATCAAAACGTTCCGTTAAAAAATAGAGTAATAAAAAAATGCAACTTTTATCAAATGTTACGGGTTACACGAAGCAATATTCCCGGTCAAGAGGGAATATTCCCGGGAACTCTCGGAAATGTTCCCCTATTGTTCCCGGGAATTTTTGATCACTAGACAACCTACAGTGTAATCTAGGTCTAGGCTCAGCGCACGGCAGACGCTCTGTGTGGGGAACTCCTCACTTGAAATCCGGAGGTGCCAAATTTGCAGTCCCCGCGCTATGCGGCAGTCTCCACACTTCAAGTGTGGAGTTCTCCAAGTTTGCATCATGTCATGAGATAGGAGCTCGGTGAGCTACTCCACATGTATGCGAGCAGTATGCGAGCTCCACACGCCCAAGTGCAGAGTATTCCATTAAGTTGGCAGTGCAAACAAAACGATAAAGCCCAACGCAGGGTCGGCCTACACTGCAAGAAAAAGTGTGAATAGTACAACAAAAGTACAACAAAAAATGTACAATAAAAGTACAACACTGATTGTATTAAGTACAACGAAAAGTGTACAAACCACAACGAGGCCTGGACTGCCCAGTAGTCGTCATGCCGGTTTCATTGTACTTTGTACAAGAATTATTGTACTTTGAAAGTACAATAAATTCCTGATAAAAAAAATTGCCAGGAATTTGTGTACCTTTGTTGTGGTTGCCTCGGACCCGCCTGCACAATCGCCCGGTTGCAGGGTTTTGTGGGTCCTGGCCCTGGGACCTCCAAGATTAGGCTGCTCCTTGCGGAGAACGCCTGCGGATCGAAGGGTAGGCATTTCTGCACCATGGCTGTCCACCGGGCTTGCCTACTTCGCTCTCCGCAGGCGCTCCGAGCTCGGCCCCGAGCAGCAGGCACCCTGATTTTAGTTTTCTATTCTCTGGTAAAGCAAATTATTTTTCAACATTTTGTGTTTCTCATCTTTCTATCGAGACTTCACTGTGCGAAAAAACCACAGTAAATCCTGCAACGATTAGTACAGCTGACGCTGTAGTTCAGAGTACGGGATTTACTGTAATTCTTTACAGGATCCACGGCAAAACCAACGTCCGGGTTTCCCAGGCGCACCCTGGAAAAATGCCCTGTTTTTCCAGGGTGCGCCTGGGAAACCCGGACGTTGGTTTTGCCGTGTCCACTGTACATTGAACGGGATTTACTGTGCCGAAGAAGTGGAGTACGGAATATCCTGTACAAACTACAGTAAATCCTGTGGCCGGGCACGGTAAATCCTGCATTCTGAACTACAGTAATTCCTGGCAAAAAATTAACGAGATTCACTGTGGGTTTTTTTCGCACAGTGTTATGGGGTGTTTGGCTATCGCAAGAAAACTGCGCTAGCCACAGTATAGCAGTCCAGGGTGATCGCAAAGATTGGTCGGAAAAATTGTTGGTGAAAGTGTCACCGTGCTTGGCACTCCTACTCACGGGAACCGGGCATGGCGACGCTGACATTCTCCATCTGAGACGGCCCATAGGAGTCCAGGACCGTGGTGCTGAGGGGGAAGGTGGCTACCACCTCCAGGGAGTACGTTATGCAGGGCAGCAGACCCTCGACCGTGGCCTCGGAGGAGTCAATTCCCTGCACCTTCGCGAAGACCGTCTCCACCTCGTCGTCGTCGTCGTCGTCGTCGAACCTCTTGGCTGCGACGGTGTAGCCCTCCACACACTGCTCGACCGGGGCCGGCAGCTCGCTCCAGGACGGCGGCACCCAGGACACCCTCACGGCCGAGCCGTTGACGGGGACGGCCACCACGTCCGTCACCAGCAGCTCCTCTGTAAAACCACTTTGTTGCAGCCGCGGCACGCCGTCGGAAACAAATGGAGCTCTGCAAATGATGCACTGCACACACCGTGACTGCCATCGAAGGTGAAGACGTCGACGGTGCCCACCACCTGCAGGAGGCCCCCCGACGTGTCGAACACCTTCACCGAGATCCTGTAGGCGGTGCACGACTCCAGGTTGCCTATATCCGCGTGGGCCTCGTAATGGCTCTCGATCCAGAAGGACACCCTCGTGTCGACCTCCGTCTGGTACGCGTTCCTCTTCGCGTCCCAGGCCTGGCTCCAGACGCTGTAGTTGAGTCGAGTATCGGCAATCCAAACGATTTCGACGCTGGTCCAATCCACCCCCTTCACGTTCACGTCTCTGTTGTAGGAACGCAGCGGAGAGGCCAGCACTGCAGCACAAAACATGTATTTGTTGTTTTAAGTCAAAGAACTCCGCGTCCGCGTCAGGTGAATGGAAACAATCAAAGTACAGTATGCTTTCCTCCCTTCGTGAGTTAAGGGCTCTTGCCGGCTCTTGCATTTTATGAATAATTATATTAACTGTAAAAATAACTATGAAAAGCTAAATAAGTGGATCTTACGTGCGAAGGCAACAGGAAGGCACAGCACTGCACATGCCAGAGGGAACCAGCGGACACCGAAGCGCCCACCCGACACTGTAAAATCCAAAAAGTTGGTCGGATGCTCATATTTTTTAAAGTTCCCTCTCAAAGTTTGTTGGTTTAAGGAGATGGACGCGCTCACCATTCGTGGTCATGATGCCTTGGTTGCCGTGGCACTGCCGTGCTTCAGTGCGCCAGCACAGCCCCGCGGCGGTACTCCACCCCAGCGGCCCCAGCCCTCTGCGAGTGGAGAGGACACGCCACAAATCACACCGGAGTAGATTATCACAATCGGACTGTTCGGCGATAGCCGTTAATGGTGCCATATGGCGGCAGGCAGTGAGGGAGAGCACGAGGCGCCTGGCGACAAAGCGGGGGGAACGACTTTGGTAATCCGGCTGACAGCAAATTAGTATCCAGATTCCGAAATTATTTACCAGAAATTTGGAGGTCATCCAGAGAGGTGATCCGGAGAAATAGGGAGATAATCCGGGGTAAACCAGCGTGGGTGGGGCTCGACTGGGTCATCGGGGCACATGACGACCCTGCTTGCTCCCTCCCTTACGTTTGAAAGTGTTTGCCGCAACGTGGCCCCGACAGATGTGCGACAGACCGCGTCACCGATTTATTGTGAAGTCAGAGATAATGGAATGGGGTGGCCCCGAGGATAGTCCACTCCTCATAGGCGACCGGTTTGCCTATGGTCTAGGCCACCCTCTCGGCACCAGATGGAGGCGCTGACGCTGGCCTACCTCACAGACATGTTTCAAAGAACTTGAAAAGATAAAACTTTACCATTCTTTGAAACTATCAACACCAAGACAACGGTTCTTAATATTCTTTCGAAAACATTTATGGGAGTGTTCCTTGGTATGTAGTCTAGCCGGATTTGAGAATGCACGTTATGGACCGCGCTTCGACGTTGATGATGAGGTCAAGCCGTTGATTATTGGTATCGACTGTCTGTATGAGTGACACATTTGATGGCCATCAAGATTTTCCTGGCCTGCTCTTCCTGCATGCGTATTTTCCTCCGATTTTTTTTCTGGTATCGTGTTGATGCAATACTTGTATTTTTAATTTTCTTTTTATCTGCTCTTTCTTCTATTCTTTCCTAATCCGATCTATCTGAGTGCCTGAGAAAAATGACTGATCGGTACGAAGAAAAAGTAACTACTACCGTTCCTGTAACTAGTTACCGCCAGTAAGTAACTCTTCGAAGGGTAGAGTCCTAACATGGAGGTCCTAAAGGCCCTAAAGGGGCTCTACCGAAGGGTAGAGTCCTAAAGGCCCCTTGGGAAGAACCGTCAACTTGAAAAGTGTTACGTTTTATTTCTCATATATCCGAAATTTTATGCGCGATTCCTCATATACTGACGATCAAAATGGCGTCGCTTTGCTTTGATGTTGTGTCGTCTGCTCCGGGCCTCGTGAGGTCAACAGACTTGACAGCGCTTGCAATAGGCCTAAAAACTTCCTCACCTCTTTAAATTAGTTCATTGAAGATCCCTTGAATGTCGGAGATAAATAGTGAAGCCATTTTGAGGCTCACTGCTGAATTTTTAAAATCCCCGCCGGAAGCGGAAGCGCTCGGCGGACATTTTGATCGTCAGTATGAGCACCAAATCGGTCAGAAGTCAGTAACGCAAGGAACCGCAATAGGAATCGTGGTGTAAACTGACTGTTCTGTTCTGTTGAAAACGGTCTGCTAGGGCTTTCAAGTTCTCTTTTGATCTGGACATTTTAAATGCTTTGCGTTAAGTAAATCTATTTTCAGTATGGACAAACTGTTAAAATTTTTAGGAAATTATGTGTATAGACAAGGTTTTGTAGTATCAAATCATGTATCTTGTAGAACTTTGAGGAAAGCTGAATGGGTGGAGGTTAGGCGTTTGTTGCATCAGACACGGCCAATATTAAATGACTCTTTACGGAGAACTATTTACTGTACACCTAGTGTATTGCCTTATACTGCTCATGCAGACATTTGTTTTCAATCAAATTACCACAAGTATAACAGTCGTTCAAAGAGTAAACCACCTCCATCAAAACATTCTCTAGCTCTGCTTAGTTTTGGTATTATTACAGCATATTGTGCAGCTTATGAGTCAGGTAATGTCAAAAATTTAAGAGAAATTATTAATTTTTCTAATTCCATTTGTCTCACTTTCTTAAAAATTCTTTCAGATAAGCGTTTAGTTACTGCAGCCAAGAAAGGAAATGATGCTGAAGTCAGAAAGTAAGACCGACAAAATTTCCTTTGATTTATCACTCTCAGGGATTTCTTTCTAATTATTAACCTGGTTAACACTGATTATTCTCTGTTTCTTAGTCTCATAAGGGAAGGCCATGATGTAAATAAACGGCACCCTTTGGGATGGACCGCACTTCAGGCTGCTGCAATCAATGGCAAATCCGGCACAGTGAAAATTCTACTTGACGCTGGAGCTGATCCGAACCTCGGAGATGAATTTTCCAATGTTTACCGTACTGCTATGGAGCGAGGAATGAGGGCAGCTGAAGTTGTCTCAGTGCGAGAAGAAGAGTTTAGTGACCGTTTGGATTACATGGCAACTTTCCGGAATTTCACTGCCCTTCATTATGCTGTACTGGCAGATGATGTGGATACAGTTGCTGTATTGCTTCAGGGAGGAGCAAACCCTCTTCTGCAAAATGATCATACCAAGCAAGCAATCAGTTACTCCAACAGAGAGAATAGAAGACTTGTGAATTTACTTGAGTCTCACATGAAAACTGTAAGTATGACTGTGTATTGCAGTTCTCCAAACATATTGAGAGTTGAAGCTTGGGAGATAGTTTAGCATCTGAGACCTTTCTTTTCAGTTCGAAAAGAAGCAAAAGGAGCTTGAAGCACTAGAAAGGCGCAGGTTTCCTTTGGAGCAGCGCTTGCGCCAGCACATTGTTGGGCAAGAGAATGGAATTGTCACTGTGGCTGCTGGTTAGTCCTTTTGTCTTTGTTGTATTCTAAAAGAAGAAATAATCATGGCTTGTCAATCATACTGTCAAGGCTTTTTTTTTCCACAGCTATAAGGCGTAAGGAAAATGGATGGGCAGATGAGGATCACCCACTTGTGTTCCTCTTTCTGGGATCTTCAGGTATAGGAAAGACAGAGCTCGCCAAACAGCTTGCCTCTTACATACATAAATCAAATGCAGAATCCTTCATTCGACTTGACATGTCTGAATACCAAGAAAAGCATGAAGTAAGTTTCAGTTTTCTTTTGCACTCTGCCTTTTTCAATGTCCTCTGATTCGATTTTGAAGGAATTTAATCTTGAATAATACTAAAAACTATGTTATTTAAGGTTTCAAAGCTGATTGGGTCACCACCTGGTTATGTGGGTCATGATGAAGGAGGCCAGCTCACCAAACGTTTAAGAAAATGCCCATCTGCTGTTGTTCTCTTTGATGAAGTGGACAAGGCTCACCCTGATGTGCTCACTGTTCTATTGCAGCTATTTGATGAGGTTTGTATTTTGATGTTGATTTTAATTGATTTACTTGTAGTTCTTCCGTTATCTTTTAAAATTGTGTTCACCCGGTAGGGAAGGCTTACTGATGGGAAAGGTAAGACCATTGAATGCAAGGATGCAATATTTGTTATGACTTCCAATCTTGCAAGTGATGAGATTGCCAACCATGCACTACATTTGCGTGAAGAAGCCAAACTGAGGGCCAAGCAGCTTCAAGAGGAAAGTAAACGTATGTAATGATTTAGCTATTCTCTTTTTAAATTATTGTTATTGATTTAAGGTATCATCGTGAAATGTCACAATGCCTGTATAACACTGATTTTCACATTCTAGCAAATGAAATGACTGAGACTGTAACAATATCCAGACAGTTTAAGGAGAGAGTTGTCCAACCTATACTTAAAAGGCATTTCCGCAGGGATGAATTTCTGGGCCGCATTAATGAAATTGTGTATTTTTTGCCTTTCTCTGAATCCGAACTATCAGAACTCGTTCAGAAAGAACTCCAGCGATGGTCCAAACGAGTAAGATGCTCCCACAACAAACAAATTTAACAAACTATATACTTATTTCAATTCAACAATAGCATTAATCTTTCTCCTTTTTCTTTCTATTTTTTTTCCACATTTTTGTTTTAGGCCAAGGACAAGCACAACATTGACTTAGAATGGGACCACAGTGTAGAAGCAATTTTGACGGATGGATATGAAGTTAACTATGGTGCTCGTTCAATTAAATACGAGGTTGAGCGGCGAGTTATTAGTCAGCTGGCACTTGCTCATGAGCGTGGAAGCATAGCCCCAGGTAGCACTGTTCAAATCCTAGTTGTTTGGCCAAAAAGTGAAACAGAAAGGCCCGTTATTAGGTTGCGTGTTAAGGCAAAAGGAAGGAAGGAATTTGTTGATATTGATGAAAAGGAATTGTCAGTGGCCAAAGCCGATGAAGCAGGCAATGGATTCATATTCTAAGTTTAAATCAATCAAGGGGGATTTATTTTCCGATGTCCTGAACATTTGCTGGCATTTGTTCAATTGCCTTCCTGTTCTAAAGCTGTGATTTTAATATTAATTTCTATTTGCTCTGCACTGCAATTTATTTTATTTCTCTTCTTTTTTTTTAGATGCCATATCTATTACTATATGTTTATAATTCATGTTAATTTCATGTCATAAACCAATGTCAGAAGCTTTGTTGTTGTTATTGTTTGGCGGTTTTGAAAAGCTCAACTATTTTCAGATAGAAGGAAAGCTTTATTTTTCTGTATTTGCACACAAACACATAAGGGAAATACTTTTACCATTCATATTTTTAGAGTATATTTGAGGAGATATTTTGGTACAAATTTCACATAGCTTAAAATGACTAGATGAGGGTTTTAAAGGTACATGATCTTAAACATAAAACTTATAAGTAGATCTACAGTAACTGAACTCTGTGATGAGACACTTTTTCATTTCTTTGATCACATTCACTCAGCTTTTTTCATATGAGTGGTTTGGACTAGCTTCTGAAGTTTGCTGATATTTCCATCAAATTTTCTCTGAAAAATCCTCATGTATACCCTACTTTACGTAAAAGTCAAGAGACAATACAATTTGAAGTTTTCATCTAATATTTTCTACAAGGATGTTAAAGGTAAACTGTTTGACTTCTAGCAATGGATTGCAGGATGTAGTAGCTGCAATAATAAATTATACTACAGTAATACAGTCACTTGATGTCAACTTTTCTTTACACCTTACTGCCATATCACCTTTTCTCCAAGCAAGTTAATGACTGGCCTAATATTTCTTTGTCCTAAATTTTGGCCTATAACATAAAATTTAAGTGCACACAGCTGTGACCTCTAAAGTGACAAAAATTCCAAACCACAGATTGGAAAATTCATCTGGTCATTGACTCGTCTGTTCACATGGCAGATCATCCCCAGGTTTCTATGCTGGTTCATCAATCCAAATTAAAATAAAATAATACAATATCAAAAATACTAACGTTGCTACTTCAACAACTCACAGCACAAGTTGGCATAAGTGACTCACAGACCTGTCAAGTTTTAATGTTCACACACATGTGCCTTCTATCAAGAAACATACATTCAGCCCTAATTCTTTTTAAATGTCTAGACCTAAGAAACATCAATAGAAACATCAAAGGTAGTATAGTGAACACTAATAAAGATCTTAAAATTCCAATCTCAATTAACATGCAAATCTATTAGAATTTATAATTCGGTTTTGCTTTAGCTGATATATGGAGGAAGACAAAAGGAAACTGTGATCTTGTGATCATTGGAAGGGGAATCTAAACACACATTAATGGAATAATTAATACAGTTTCAGGGAAAGCAGTAATATCAGAATTTGAGTTGCTCCTAAAAGATACGTGAATACTGAACGTGATAATTATCATGAATTAGCCAAACATCAATAGCTAACATTTAAATTCACACATAGTAAAAGCCAACAGGACGGTTCACTTCGCGTTGTTATTTCCTGCCACTGTATTCCTTCCATTCCTCCGAGTACCTGCCCATCATTCGCAAAAATTGTGAATAATCCTAACAACTATCACTTCTAAGTTAAAACAAGATGAACTCACTCTCTCATTCAGTCAATTGGTTTTGTAACATATCACTGAATCAAACCATAAAGCACACAACACAGTCTTACCAAAATAATTAAGTTTGCATTAAAATGCAGAATAATCTTTCACATTGTCTTCAGCTACATATCATTATTTACACAAATATACAAATGACTTAAAGAAATGGGGACAAATTATAAATTTGATTTAATTCACTGTTACTATTCGTATCTATCTTTGATATTGCCTTGTCTTGAAGTCACATTGACTACAAATCAAAAGAAGTGAATGAAACATTCCAGGTAGGATGTGAAGCCACTAAAAATCATTCGGTAGTCCTTGTCATGAGATAGTGATCCAAGTCATAAAGGTTGAAGGTATGACTTTTATAAAAACAACTGCATAATGATTTTATGTTCACTTTTAGTTTTACCTGGGCCCCCATTTTCACAATAAAGATTTCACAGCCAGATTTGCAAGCAAAGCTTGCTATCATTCGTTGTATTCTTGGCACAAACGGAAAAGTTGGCATAATTGCATTTATGAACAAAGGCAATTTTTCTTTTGTTAAAATGAGAAGGGTATGAACGTTGCTGAGAGTTTTCTCAGGGCAGAAATGTGCATTCATTTAGATATGAGTAAGAACATTCTAATTCCTAACACAGAGATAGTTTGGATTGAAGTTTAGATTTTCTAAGCTTTTAAGCTTTTTTTCTACGAGTGCTAATGACAGAATGCATTTTTCACTATTTGCTGTAAAGAACTCCCAGCAGACCACTAGCCTATTTTTGCGTAAGCCGGTATTCATTTCTATTTCTCACTGATTACGGAAGATTAACTTATTCATCTCAGTTGAGAATGACTAAAATATTAATTTCTACTCAGAGTAACACAGTTGGTTATCAGTATAGGGTCCTATGCTTATACATTCAACATGAAATCACTACAATGCCATGTCACTATGATTTATATTTGTCTGGATTTTGAGACTCATTTGTGACCATGACATGAAAATGGCTACGTAAATGTTCTAGTTCTAAGTGTCTGGGATAATTATAGATTGCATTGACTAGGAGTATCGTTTTTCCATCTTGTCGCTCAAGCTTCTCTATTTTTTTGCTGCACTACATGAGATGCAATACAAGCATGAATTACACGTAAATGATCAAAATTGTAGTCCGAGTGAACTACCCCCCCAACAAATTAATGGTCTTATGAGAACTGGAAATTAGACCTGGGTTAAGAGCTCCGTGAGGCATCAACCTACCGCGCCCCGCCGCGCCCCGCCCCGAGCGCGCATGGTGTGCGGCGAGCACCTGTTGCACCGCTTCTGCCGGTGAGAGAGAGAGAGACAGCCCCGCGAGGGAGGCGCGTAGGGTGCTTCGATCGAACGCAAGCGGGCAAGGCCTGCAAGGCCCCGGCGGCACGAAACCACCAGCGCTCACGGCTGCATCGCGGCGCGGCCCACGGTGTGGATCTGGGGCTGGAGGCGCCTGGCCGGCGGCAGGATAGAGATGGTCACGCTGCCGTTGCTGTCGCTGCTGCAGCAGCTGCTGTTGCTGCCGCAGCTAGCCATGCTGGCGATGCTGATGGCGCCGGGGGAGGCGGGGCGGCCAGGGGAGGCTGGGCGGTCGGGGGAGGCGGGGCTGCCGGGGGAGGCGGGGCGGGAATCGGCGGCGTCGTGGTCCTGTCCATCCAGAGCGTCCTCGCGGCTCTTGCCGTCCTGGGGCTGCATCTTGGCGCGTCCTTCCGGGGCCAGGTCGTCGGCACGGTCGTCAGCTCGGTCGGCACGGCCAGCGCGGCCAGCTCGGCCAGCACGGCCAGCACGGCAGGGCGGGGTGAAGTCCGGGCCAATCTGCAGCACCTGCAACACGCCAGGCAGTCAGTGACGTCACGCCCGTCACGGCACTGTACCCCTCATCCCGCATCCCGTCCGAGGGGTCGGCACATGGCAGTGCAGGCAAGCATGTATCGGGCCCGAAAAGGCATCATACGATCAGTTGTGGGCTAGCCCGTAGTGGTAATGGTAATGGAGGGTAGGCAACTCGGTGGACTTGCCGACACAGCTGCGCTGTGGCGTTGCCTACCCTCGCGCGCGCGGGCGCTTCTCGTTTCACCGGGCTGGCCGGGCTGGCCGGCCACGTGTTTGACGCGTCCTCGTCCCGCTCCGGGTAGTTCCGGGTAGTTCCGGGTCCCCACTTACGCAGGTGATGGGCGGTGGCAGCTCGTCGTCAGAGGTCGGGGTGTGGGTGAGGTGGCCGAGCACGGGCGGGCTGAGCGGAGTGTCCCTGATCTGCTGCAAGAGGGCGCGCGGGGGTTGCGGGGATTCGATGTTGAGTCCGAAGGCGGCCACGTCCTCGATGTCGAGGTGCAGGATGCTCTCCTGGCTCCCGGTGAACTGGAGCAGGGACAAAGGGAGAGGAAATTAATGGATCGGTGATTCGGTGAATCGGCTGACGAGAAGGACGAAGGGTCACTCACAACAAAGCCGTAGTGTTTCAGGATGTCCATCTTGCACATGGGGCAGGTGCGGTGCTCCAGCAGCCAGGGGTCGATGCAGCCCTTGTGGAACTCATGCCTGCAACACCAAGCAGTGCCACGGTACTGTCTCTCTGGTGGGCCGAATGCGGCCGAATGGGTGCGAGAGAGACGGACTGACCTGCAGGGAAGCGTGCGGACCAGCTCGTTGGCGCGGAAGCGCTCGATACAGACAGCGCAGCAGTCCCCGTCGCCAGTCACAGCCTGCGAAGGAACGGAACGAAACCAATTACCGACAAGTTGGCCATGCCCTGGCCATGCCTGCCGGCAGACAGCCCGAGAGGGATTTCGAGACGGCGCGACGTTGCGACAAGAGGCCCTCCAGAAAGTCGTTGGTTCGGGAATGGAGACGGGAAAGGTGAGGGGGTGGGGTGGGGGGCCGCCCGGGCGAGCAGTGACTTTGCGCGGTGAGGCATCCAGAGGTGGATACAAGTGCGTAAAATTGAGAAAAAAAGTCTCCACAGCACCTCAAAAATATTGTTAAGAGAACTGTCTCAAAAATCGAGTGAAAAGTAGTTCTAGTGTCACCATGGGCTTTCAAATTGTATATACATAACACTTGCACCAGTTGAGAGCTAAGCGCTCACACGTCGGAATTGTGAGAGCAGGACGAATAAAAAGAAGCAAGAGGGAAATGGCACGGACTACAAACAGGTGCGCGCCGAGCTTAGCGCCAGCGCCAATAAAATGGAACGGGAAAGGTAAAAATAGGTAAAAGACCGGTAAAAAAGTAAAAAATCCCTCAAAGCATTGCGGAACATTGGTCATACGAGGCAAAACGGCCCGGACCTGGAATTCGACGAAAATATGTTGGCGTTTTGGACACCACGTGGCTGGTGGCTGTGGAATCTTTACCATCCACCGCAGTTCGGCCGAGTTCGCCTCTTCCGCTTATCATCCAGTTACGAGGCGGGCTGGCCGGCTCAGTGTTGCTTCGAGAGATCGACTTACCGCGTCGTCGATCTTGAGGCGCCGGAGGGGGATCTTGGAGAGCGCGCGCTTGGCGGCGTTGCAGAGGCGGCGCTGAAACAAGAAGCGTTATGTCACCATTTTGTCGCACTGCCGGGGCGAGCCCTGGCGAGCCCTGGCCGCTCTAGCTGCCGTGGCGTCAACACGCCGAGCGCCCCGCCATTCTTCTATTCCGCGAGAGGAAAAAGAAGAAACGAGTGCCATCGAAAGAGCGAAAAAGCGCGCCAAATAATGAGGCGCTGACTCACGGAGAGGCGGTCCTTGGCGTGGATGTAGCGAAATCGCTGCACGTAGTAGAAGACGAGCCAGGCCAGGGAGATGATCATGAGCACGATGAAGGAGACGGACACGAAGAGCACCGACGTCCTGGGGGACAGAGAGGGCCAATGGAGGAAAAACCGCCGAGAACGTCGATGATGGTGCTGGAACACAGCGGGGCGTGCTTTCAGTGCGGAGGGCGGCTAGGCTTCCTCGATCGCCCGGTTCCTCAGCGCGGCGCGCGGCGCCTCAGTGCATTCTTCCAAATGAACGCATAACCTCGGCGCGCCAGGGCCGACCGCAGCACCGCCAGCAGGCTGTCTCTCTCGCACTCTCGGGGCGTCCCCTACCAGTGCGAGAGAGGGAGAGAGAGAGAGAGAAGGCACTGCTTGCCGGGGACGTGACGTTCGGGGGACTCCTATAATAAGCCTATCCGCGCAAGCTGCAGGGAAACGGGGGGAGGGGGATGTTTGCTCTTGAAGAGGGATGAGGCGGGCTTGGCGGGGTCAGGGTGTCAGTCCCAGTGTCACAGCAGCGGCCCCCGCGGGACCCTTGCCAACAGCTCCCCCCCACGCCCCGCCACGCCCCGCCACGCCCCGCCACGCCCCTGCCGTGTTTTGTCGTCGCTCTGTCTCCCTCGCACCGCTAAGGAACGCCCCATGAGTGCGACAGGGACAGGGCCACCAAATCACCGTTCGGAATGAGTCTGGGTGCAGGCTAGTGCAGGCTGGCCGCGCTCGCCCTGCCCGTAGTGGCCCGTAGTGGCGGTGGGGACGCCGGGGACCCCTCCCGTCTACTCCCGACGCCCAGCGCGCCCAGCGCCCACTGTGCCCAGCCAGCATGGCACGGCCAGCACGGCCAGCATGGCGCGGCAGTCAGTGCAGAAAATAGCGGGCCGCGGAGTATTGCAGGCAGGCCGAGGCAGGGGAGTGGCATTGGCGCGGCCGCCGGGCGTTGTGTCCACGCAAAACAACGCAGGCGCGAATGTTGACTAGCACACCAGTACGGCGGGCGGGACGCGTGCTCTCGCACGGCGGCGGGGCGAGGAGGGGTGGAGGTGGCAGCCTCGGAAATGGCTCGAGTACCGCGAATCACCTGTCGCTGTCATTCAGCCTGCAGAGGCCAGAGCGGAGCAGAGGGCAGAGTTTCCAAAGTATTTGAGGCTGAGCCGCGGCCCAGCACGTCACCGGCATGCATGCAGCGGCAGTGCGAAACGCCAAGTCCTGAGCCGGGGAGGGATTTCACGGCGATTCCTAGCGCTGCTTTGCGCTTTGCCTCATCAGCCGTCTGATTCCGAACACTGCTTCGTTGCTCTGTCTCTCTCGCACCCCTACGGAACGCCCCATGAGTGCGAGAGAGACAGAGCGACGAAAGCAGTGCTCGGAATCAGACGGCAGCCGCCACAAGTCGCTTCAAAACGTGAGTCTGTTGGCGAGGCCTCATCGACACGCGGCCTCTGTTCCTCGCGGCGTGTTCTTTGACCAAAGCCTAACAAGACCACGAAGACGGGCATCCTCTAGTATTTGGAACCAAGGAGGGGAAAACATAGCTTTTCTTGTCATCACGCGACCGTAAAACCGAGCCATGCAAACAGCAATATTAAAAACTCACTTTTCTGAGTGTGTAAGAGGAAAAAGCCCGTCCGTCAAAGAAGCGAATGTTCACCGTCCGGACACGAAAGATGTCTCCTCTGGCCGGTCGCGTCGCGTCCCGGATGAGCGTCCGTTTTTCATATTTTCCCGCGCAGAGCCGAGGGATGAGACGCGGGGAAACGAAAAGCTCTGGGGCTGCAGAGCACTTACGCGAGGATTCAGGATTCATAAGCTGGAAACCAGAAAAACTTGTGTTTGCACACGGGATGCAGGGCGGGCTAGCGGACGGACGGACGGACGGCGCTGTCGCTTTCAGAAAACGGGGCCACGTCCGCGCGTCCCTCGGTCTTTGGGCCTTTCGGCAGGGTAAACTTGTTGCTGTAAAAGCGAGCTTGCAGGAGGGCAACGACGCCCTGCTGCGCTCCTGCTGAGGGCCTGGCAGGGCCTAGCAGGGCTAGCGGGGCCGAGGGCAGACGAGGGCCAAGGGTTCAGGAGGCGCCATTCATGACGGCTTGCTGGCTCCTCGGCTGGCTCCCTTTGCTGGCTCGGTGACGCAAGCTAGGAAGACCGCCCGTCCGCGCGACCGCTCGACGTCGACCTGTCCGGCGCGGTCCTCAGCGCGCTGGGCCACTGGTGCAATGGCCCACTTTATTGTCGACCCGAGCGCGGGCAGCGACAAGAGGATGCCAATGGACCCCGAGCAAGAACAGAAGGAATCCTGGACCCGAAGAAGCCGTTTCATGAACGAAGGGAATAGGCTATTGACTTGCAATAGTAAGGGACTTTAGTTTGAAACATGCAACTGAATTCGCTTGATGCAAGAATTCGGGGGTCTGGGGGTCCGGGACTTCGCGCTTCGCGTCGCGCAAAGCCCAGCAGCGGAGCGAGCTGCCATACCACGCACATCGCTTCCACCGCTCTGTCTCTCTCGCACCCGCACGGAGCGCCCCACGAGAGCGAGAGAGGTGACTTTGATCTCGAGGCAATTTGTGGGATGAGGAAATAATTGGGACCAGCGAGGCAGTGAAGCGGCGGGCCGACCGGGTCCATCCGCCGGGGACGGGCCGGGACGGGCCGGGGACACCTCCAAGGGGATTGCTGTACTATGTATCTTCGCTCTCCGCACTCCACGCTGCTGTGTGCTGTGTGCCAGGTGCCGCGTGCCCTGAGGGATTTGGAGAGGGAGAGAGGAAGGAGAGAGAGGAGAGAAGGGGGGGGAGAAAGGGGGAGAGGGAGGGACAGAAAGAGAGGGAAGAGAGATGGGCAATTTTGATGTTTGGGGACAAGATTTCTGTAGGAAAGATACTTCGTTGAATTTCCTCGGATTTCACGCCCAAATTTTCGTTGGACCCGTGCAACAAGCTCTTATCTCAACTTTGGTATCGTCAACGACAACCTATCTCAATGGGCTACTATCAACACCAATCAATCTCTATGCGCTATAAGGCGAGCGGATAGGTTGTTGTTGATGGTAGCGCGTAGAGATACAGGTTGTTGTTGACGGTACCAAGTTCAGATAGGCTGTTGTTGACGATGCCAAGTTGAGATAGGTGCTTGTGGTACGGATGCGACGTTTTGCTCTTCGCTTTTCTGTTTTGGATGATAAGGGATTTCAAGGGGCACAGGATTGGCGGAGCTCTATTCCGCCATTTCGCAGTTGCAGCAAGTTGTCCCTCCGGTTCCGTCAAGACGGTCCAAACGGCCCAGAGGTCCATTGATGGAATCAATCAATGGACAGCCTCTGAATTCGGTTGCTCGGGCATTTTGAGGCCGGAAGACGATTCCGCGCGCAACTGCACTGAATGCCCTCGTCGCTCTGTCTCTCTCGCACTCGCGGGGCGGCCCGTAGGCCCGTAGGCCCGTAGGCCCGTAGGGGCGTGAGAGAGACAGAGCGATGAAAGCGCGGTTCGGTAATGAGCCCGGCGGTGCAGTCCGCCGAATGGTCACGTAGCGGCAGAGGCCGCGCCGGAAGCGCGTGCTCAATCGGACGGTGCACCGCGCTGCACCGCGCCATGCTGGGACACCAAAACGTCAAAAGCAGCGAGACCGATAAAACCGGGCGCGGGGCGGTGAAGCGGCGGGCCGGCATGCCCCGCCCAATCCCTCGCACAAAAGTAATGAGGAGTCAGCCGGAATGAGAGAAATCCGACGGATGATGTCGCGTGCTCACCAAAGCCGACATCATTAGTGATGTGATGTGCATGCGAGTGCGTCGAATCACTCGAAACCGAAAACGAAGCCAACAATGTTGAATTAAAAGAAAAAGAAATCATTTTGAACCAAAAACAGCAAAGATATGCTCATTTTATCTCTTTGCAGTCATGAATATATCAAGTTTGATTCGATTCGGGATTGAAGCAGGCCGCTATATGACGTCACTGCGTCCGCAGCTTCCAGCATGCCCGACTTGACTTCGGCCTATCCGCCAATACGCGTGTCCGATAAGAATCCCGCGCGACCTTTGTCAACGTTCCCAAGCGGCTCAAATCATCGATGGGAACGTAAACGAAAAATCTCATCCAACGAAAGTCAATGAAAGCAGATGATACTCGTGTGGTTATGGACTTTCCTATGATAAAATTAAAAATTGTGTGTGAAATAAAATATGTCGCTAACGACATACTTGTTTCGCTTTGGTTCATGATGACACACTCTGTGCAACGACCAAGTTTTCACTCACCTGATTGTTTCTGTACAAGCATTGTTTATCAGTGTGGTTCGAGACGAGCCGAGCTGTGGCCTGCACCGCCGCGGCACGAGCGCGCCGAGCCGTGCCGAGCCCGAGCCGAGAGGCATTGTCGCTGTTCTGCGCGCGGGGACCGCGGGGACGCGGACGGCTCCTCTCGCGCTGTACGCGGGGAGGGAGTGTCAATGTCCCGCGCAGACTGCGAGCCAGACGGCCCTCACGATCCCGCCCGGCAGCCAGCACCCTAATGTTATTGTCAGGATGCGCTTTCGGCTTCTTGACTCGATAGTAAAAGCTAACCTTCAGGTGCGTCTAAAGTGTCACTGTATCATCTGTTAAAAACCCGAAACCCCCAAAAATAGAGAAAGAAAAGAGTAGAAACTGTGGCTTGGGATGCTGGGGCGGTGGGTACACCCACCGACACCCGCAGGCCCCACATCGGATGCTGGGTCCTGGCGGCCGGGCTTGGGCGGGCCCGACTGGCACACTGGCTATGGTGCCCCCCGCGCCCCCGCGCAGCCCGGTGGGGCCGCACTGCAAAAAGCCGCAGTCATTTGCCTGGCCGAATCATTGAGGGCATTTTCATCACGAATGACGTCATCAACGCTCCTACTGCTAAGGTGCGACACCAAACTCATAAACTCAACTGGTTTGATGACATTCTAGCGGAAAGTGAAGGCCTTGAAACACGTCGTCGAGAATGGCAACCGAAGTTTTGGCAGTGCGCGCGGCCGCGTGGCGAGCTGCAAATGCGGCCGAAAGCCCAGTCGAAAGCGGGCAAGCCGCCTGCGGCGCCCGGCAAGGGCGAAAAGCCTCTTACAAGGGGAAATAACTCTGAATTTCGGTGTACAAATGAATGAATTTCATGAATTTCATTAAATTTTTTGAAATTCAGTGAATTTTTTGAATTTTTTGAATTTTAGTGATTTTTTACGAATTTTGGTGAATTTTATTGAATTTCAATGAATCACTTTGAATTTTTTGAATGAATTTTTGCGAATTTTGCTGAATTTTAATGAATTTCTAAAAAGTACTTTGAATTTTGTAAATTTCAAAGAATTTTTGAAGTTTGGTGAATTTTAAGAATTTTTGTGAATTTCAATAATTTTTGTGAACTTAAATGAATTTTGGTGAAATTTTTAAAGAAATTTGGTGAAGTTTTTTCAAATTTCAGTGAAAATTTTTAAAGAATTTTTTGAATTTTTAATGAATTTTTTTGAATTTTTTTGAATTTTTTTGAATTTTAATTCAAGTGTACAATTTTTTCTGAAGTTATTTCCCCTTGGCCTCTTACCTGTTGATGGAGTTGAGGCTGCGGGTGCAGCGGTTGGCCACGGCGATGTCCACGAGCACCCGGTGCTGGCTGTCGGCGAGCTTGACCAGCCCCACGCCTTTCCAGTGGTACGTCAGCACGGCGGTGATGTTGTCTGCGGACACAGAGGGGGGTTTATACAAAAAAATAGTGAGAATTTCCCTGACTTTTCCCTGATTTCCCTGACGCGAAATGCAAATTTCCCTGACATTGAGCGCATCAAAACATTGATTGAGTTGAACTCGAACGGCGGTGTTTCGCGCTCTCCTCCGCATTGTCCAGCAAACAGGTCCAGTGTCGCAGCAAACTATTTTTCCCTGACATTTCTGCTGCATTTTGCGAAATCCCTGACATTTCCCTGATTTCCCTGAACCTGTTTTTTCCCTGACTTTTCCCTGATTTCAAGGTTTTCAAGGTTTGTATAAACCCTGCAGAGGGGGCCGTCAGTGGCAGCCGTCAGTGGCAGGGGGAAGGGCAGCGGGACGGCCCGGCCCGGCCTGGGCTGGGTAGGCGCATGGCGTATTCCATGGCAGACTCGCTCCGCAGTGGTTGGGGCAATACACCGAAGGCGTGAAAAAGAAGAGCAAAGACTAGAGGACGGGCGCCAATGTCAAACAGGCAGCCGGAGCCCAGCGCGGGTTGCGCGGCGGAGGGAGGGGGGACTCCTCATCCTTCTCCCATGTCCAATCGCGGCGAGGGCACCGCTGGCGCGCTCGCGGTCGGAGGACGGCTGCCGGTGCGGCGCATGACGTCACGGACGTCGCGGACGTCGCGGAGGGCCTCCATGTCGGCGAGCTCCTTCCTTCACGTGCTCGCCGGCCGCTGCTACCTCATTCCGAGGGATCGTCCGCCGGCCTCCGTCGTCCTGAAGCGTCCCGCTGGGTGCACTGTGCGTTGCCAGCGTTGCCCGGCCCGTGGCTGCGAGGGAGGCAGGCAGGACCGGCCAATCGGTCCTTCGGCTGGCGGTCGCTGTGGCGGTGCGGGACGTCGCCGACGTCGCCGACAGCAGGACGCGGCTCGGCCAGGCTCGGCACGCGGCCGAGGCGGAGGCTGCCTAGAGGCTGCCCGGTGGGGCTTGTCTATCTTTTCGCTCGCTCGGCCGGCCACTCTCAACTAATCGGGTCCCCGATTGCGTCTTGCGTCAGCAGCTGGGCTTGCTGGACATCAAAATGGACTAGGCCGCCATTTGGCGGGGCGGCCAGGGCGGCCAGGGTCACGGTGCACAGTGGGTCAGAAGACCGGTGGAGGCGGTGAAAATCCCGCGGACGCGTTTTAAGCTCCAGAGTCGCCAAGTGGGACTCGAACCGAACGTGTGACCCCACCAATGGATTGCTCTGCGAACGGGGAATCCATTGGTGGGGTCTCACGTTCAATTTAATTCCTGTTTAGCGACTCTGGAGCTCAAAACGCGTCTAGAGTTTTGACCCTCTGCGCCGGGAGTGCACTGCTATAACGGCACACGGTCAGTCATGTGGCGGACGAACTAGTGACAGCCCCGCCGCCGCGCCGCAACTCCGTGGCTCTCCTGTCCCTCTCGCACTGACAGCGTTTCCGCAGGGGTGCGAGAGAGACAGAGCGATGCGGGACGCTACTGGCCCATCGTGGACGCGAGCGCGGAAGCGAGTTGGACGAGGCGCGCGCCGCGGCGGCACGGTGAGGCGACCGGTTTGGCGGCTAGGTCCCCGGCCCGCCACACCGATAAGCAGCCCCGTGATCGGCACGGCCGGCCGGGCACGGCAGAAGCACTGCGCTGAGCGCCCATGCGCAAGTTACGCTGCCGGCAGTCAAGTCTGTCGGGTGTTCCCACTCGTGCGAACATGCATGCCGCGTGCGGGCCATGCAACGCGTCCTGATTGAGCTTGCTCAAGCCGCGCAGCCTGGCGAAGCCACGCCACTGGAATCAGTCCAAAGCTGGGCGAGCCGAGGCACTGCAAAATTCGAGCGGGAGGCGCGAGGCGCGAACCGACGAACGGCCGATTGGTGGGTGATTGTGGGCGGCGGAGTGCGCATCCTGGAGTCTGCCGCGCCTCGAGCGCCTCTAGTCGGGACAGGCGAGCAGCCGGACGGGCGGACGGACGGACTAGCAGACAGACAGACAGACAGGCGGCGCGAAGCAGCCGTCGCGGAAGCAGTGCGCGTGTTTGCGGACGGTTTCTTTCTCAGGCGACGAAGCGCGTTAGGACAAATTGGACGCTCTCCTCTCGGCGCCGTGCGTCGCCGCGTCGCCGCGTCACCGCTTCGCGTGTGCTTGGCTGGCTTGATTACGGTGTGGCGGCGTAGCAGGAGCGCGTTTCGGCGTGTCGGTGTTTTGGGCAGTTGTATGCCTTCGGCTTGTCCTGGACTTATTAACGTCGACCGCGTGGGTATGGGCTGGGACGTTCTAGGTCTTCTCCGCATTCTTCGCTTCCGCAAAATGCCTCCATTCAGTCCCTGGTCTCGGCCGCCCGCCGCGCAAAGCATTTTATGCTGACTGCTCCTCGACTACAAAGAAGCTAGGCGAAGCCAGACGACTTTGTGGGCGTTCCAAGATTATGATTTGTCATCACGAATAGCTACTAGTTCAGGTCCTGCAAACCAAAAAGGAACGCTTTGTCTGCTGCGGGAAAGGAAGCCCGCAATCTCTCCGAGAGGCTTTTCTCGGTGCTCACCGAGGGGTGAACGTGTCAACAACCAATCCACTGAAACACCCCGGCCGGCTGCATCGCTTCGGCATCGCTCCGCTCCGGCGTTGCTGCATTCTGGTAGCTGACTCCGCGCAAAGCCCGTCCTCGTTCTTGCCAAACGCGGCGACTCCTAGCCTCGCTGCCGACGAAGCAAAAGCAGTCATCTCGACCGTCACCCAGCAGACTGATTCCGAGAGCCATTTTCATCGCTCTGTCTCTCTCCCGCACTCGACTCCTGTAGGTGCGAGAGGGACAGAGCGACGGAAACGCGGCCCTCGCACTCAGTCCACTGTCGGGGCTCGGGCCACAGTAGCGGCTCCGCCAACAGTCGCCGAGTCCTCAGTAGTCCTGAGCAGTCCTGAGCAGTCCTGAGCAGTCCTGAGTAGTCCTGAGCAGTCCTGAGCAGTCCTGAGCAGTCCTGAGTAGTCCTGAGTAGTCCTGAGTAGTCCTGAGTAGTCCTGAGTAGTCCTGAGTAGTCCTGAGTAGTCCTGAGCAGTCCTGAGGGACGAGGAGCGACAACGACAATAGCAAACGGCGGCGTGGTGCAGTGCCTGCAGTGCAACACTGATGAAGAAAGGCAGAAACACCGTGCCCAGCGGGGCTTGAACTATTTACGCCCATGGACGAGGCGTATAGAAATATAGGACTGCTGTCTGGGCGGGCAAAATTTCAACGCCCGGCCAGAGGCTTTAGGAAAATAGTGCGGGAATCGTCATGAAGCCCTTCAGACGGTCCCCTTCCCTCCGATCTCCTCCTTTCGGACCCCGCTTTGGCACCAAGACGAGTTTAGAGCTCGACGTTGTGGAGCGAGAACCCGAATGGAGTTTATCCACCTTGAGAACGTGACTAGCGATAAAGGGGTGGGGTTTTAGTGAGTCCGGGAGAAGAAAAAGAGGGGGAGGGTTGAGTGGAGGAAGGCATGAGGTTGCCTACCATCAGGCGTTTTAAAAATGTTCCACTACCCCCACCCCCACTCCACTCCCCTTGAAACCGCGCCACTAATTCGATGTGGGGCGCATCCCCGCAAAATGCAATCCGCGCGCCACTCTCCAGTTTCCGTGCTGTTTGATTGTGTTCCCGAAATGGAATATGCTTTTTCCCGATGCGCGCCTCGGACGTCTCGTTTTTCTGGGTAGCCGGCCAGTGCTGCTTTTGTGCCATCGAATCACCCGCGCGCATATTGGAGCCTGCCTAACACGGCCAGGGGAAAGGGGGACGGAGGGGCAGTTTAATAAAAGCAACCCGAAAAAGAGAGTGCAACATTTTGTGCGCGTCAGAGGGGAGAGAGAGAGAGAGAGAGAGAGGAGAGAGAGAGGGGGGGGGGGGGGGGGGGGAGAGACTGCGCTGAGAGGGTTCGGCACAGATCAGCCCGCGCTGATGCGGCCACCTGGTCGATCTGGCCCGGAGCCTTTCCCCATTATTCGAAGTGCTTTGACGGTCCGACATGTCACCGCACCGCGCACTATTTCCTGGAACCGCTCACTGCGCGCTGCACATTTTATTCGATTGCTCGCTCCAATCCCGCTGATGGTACATGCCGACCGGCCTATGACGTCTGTCTGTCTGTCTGTCTGCTGCGAAAGCGCATCCAGCTGCAGCGCAGCCCGAGCGCAGCGCGCGGAGTGCAGTGGCGGGATTCGGCAGCGCGTGCAAGTATAACGACCTACCCCCCCTCTCTCTCCACGAATACGCACCCTTCGAAATCTCGAGCGAGACGTTCCACGAAGCAGGGTGCCCCTCGAGCGGCTCACGGCCCCAAGGGCCCCGCGATCCCCCGCACGGCACACGCCGAGCGCGAAAGATTGCCGACGCAAACTTGGAAATCGCATCATCCGAGTCTCCACGCGCTGTTCTTCCTCCAGAAAGCGGAGCAGCTCACAGAAGCCCCTACCTTTTGGGCACGGCGCGAACGTGGAGAACTCCACGCATGAAGTGTGCACTCTCATCCTTCAATCGCCATTTTATCAATATTCGTTCGTGCGCATCAAAAGAGTTTTGTTAAGAATTTAATTAACGAAATTGATAATATCGTTTGCAGAACAAACACGAATGTTAATACGCTTGCGCACAAGCGTCGAAACGTTGTTGAACAAAACGTCAGTACGAGCCTGAGAATGCATGGAGACCGCAAACTCTTCACTTGCAAGTGCGGGGATTGAAAATTCCACACCCACGCATTGCCTTGGTTCCACAGTGTGGCGTTCCGGCCAGGCGACGCCAAGGGAGCCGCGCCGCCGCCTCGGCCTTTCGGTCGACTTTGGCCCGGCCGGCCAGGAACGAATTAGTGTGTCCTGCGAGGTGATGGGGGATTAAGAGGCGAAAACACTTGCTCTGCTCGCGCGTCATTGCCGTTCCCACACTACGCTGCTTATCGCCGTCCTTGTCACTTCCCCTTCGGCGATAAGGACGAGAGAAGTGGGGCGATGGGCCGAGGACTCACTCGCCTGCTCCACCGGTAAAGCGAACAACTGCGAGGCTGTGAGGGCAGATTCACGTCCGACTGTCGAACGCCGACAGCTACCCTCGCAGCTACCCTGTCAGCTCGCACGAAAAGACGTGGCAGCTTTAAACCATGTTTGGTCGGCCGCCTCCTTGCCCGCGGCCTGCCCCCGAGGAGGGTAGAGTAGCCAAACTGTACCTAACTTCTAGCTGGTGGTTGTCTATCCACCGACCTCGGGGATGAGCAAAAGTTAAAACTGATCTGATAAAACTATAGTGCCAAATGCATTGGACTCGCAAATCGTGTGCACTGTTGTTGCTTAGCCCCCTATGTGAGCACACTTTGGGTTTTCGATTTTTCCGAGTGAACATGTGAAATTGGTCCAAGAGACAACGACTCTTCGCGTTTGTCTCGCTGCCGTGACGGCACGTCGACGGCGTCCCTGCGGGCGTCCCGCGCGGTTCGCGACGTCGCCGCTTTGGCCGAAGACAGAGACACGCTCCGTCGCACTCCGGCAGCGCGAGGATTCGGCTTTGACTCGCCGCCGCGCCAATCGGTTCTCTACACCCGAAGTGGAGAGGCAGACAGGTTCCCTCTCAGCGGCACAGCGTTTCGTCGCGTCTTTCTGTCTCGCTAACACCGCCAGCACCGCCAGCACCGCCACGCCACCAGGGCACTGCGAATCCAACAACTCCACACTTGCAATTCGGAGGTTTCACTGTTAAAAAAAATCTGAAAATTCAGATTAAGTCTTGACAATTTGGAACATTTCAACCATTATATTTTTACATTAGAATCCTTTTAAACAGAAGTAGGTATGTTCCACAACATGTGCGCCATCTAGCGGCCAAACGAAATCTTGGGTTGGTCTGAATTTTCAGACTTAATCATCTACATTTTCAGACTGCGCTGGTCTGAATTCAAGTTCTGAGAGGGTCAGGTCGCAATTTTCATACCGGAAGGCTAAATTTTCAGACAAACAGTCTGAAACAAATCTGAAAAATAGATTCAGACCGCCAAGGTTGGATTTTGAGTTTCGGTTCGTCACGTTGAGTCCTGCGTGCGGTTTAATCAGGTCAGAAGGGTGCCCTGCGGTGACTGTGGCGGGGGGACGGGGGAAGCGGGGGTTCCACCGAACTTCACACAATGCATGGCCTCCCTCTCAGAACCCCAACACAATTGGCGACCACCTTCTAGTGCTTCGGTTTCAAAGTCCGGCGTCCGAGACGGAGCCCGGCATCGGGTCCTGCAGTGGGAAATGAAATTTGGCACTGCGCGGTCGGCTTGACGCTTTGCAGTCAGGACAACGTGACCCAACGACGTGACCAGTAATGCTAAATACCACAAAACTCAAGAGCGATCCACTCTCAAGTTCCTCCAGAAGTCTTGGGCGGCACAAGCAAGTTAGGAACGTATGGAGGAAAGGTCCTCAGTAACTTATCATGCGACCACTTTCCTCATACTAATAAATTTCTCCGCATTATGATAGTTTTGTGTATTGTTCAGTGCCGAGATATATCTCCGACTCCACAGCATTTCTCAATGGAAAATTCGAAGTAGCACAAACAACAATGACAACTACAATGATAACCAATACATAATTAATACAACAACTACAACAATGACAACAACAACAACATGATGATAAACAAGAATAATACTGACAAAAGAAGAAGAATGGCAACAACTACCACAAGCAGCACTGCGGGATCGAGTTGGGCGACGTCTTACCCCTAAGTCCTAAGGACAACCAGAAGACGCCGGTCGCGATCACGGTCAACGCGCGCTCCGCCGCCTTCCTCAGTTTGGCGGGGTCACACTCTTCGCAGCTGTATATCAGGCCCGAGGCCGCGCTGCCCGCTCGCCGACCTGGGCAGCGACAGTAAGGGAGAGTGCATCGTGGGGGGGTGAGGTGGGGCGAAGCTACGGGCTGCGCGGGGCGTGTAGGAAGCGGGGCGCACGGGGCGCATGGGGGTTGCTGCAGCACTTACGTTCCGGGAGATGTCCATCATGTCCAGGGAGTCGGCTTCCTTGTCGTCGTACACGATGACGGCCGAGGCCCCGGCCAGCGCGGCGGTGTGCACCTTCATGTCGAAGGTGCAGTGGCCGCGCGGCACGAGGGCGATCCAGGGTTCGTTGGGCAGGGCGCTGGAGTTGCGGTTGCGGGTCGGGGCGCGCATCAGTGGCGGCGAGCAGCCTCCGGGGGCGTTGGGCGACATGACGTGAACCAGCAGTCCGCGGGCACCGGCGATGCGGCCGTCTCCTGCAACACCAAGTAGAGTCAGAGGCTGTGCGCGGCGCGGGCCGGCGCCGCGGCCGTGGGACTGCCCTGTGGGCGGCGCGGTCCCACTGTGCTGCCGCAGCCGCGCTCCTCCCGGACACGGCGCGGACACGGCGGGCACGGTGTTCCCACCGGCCGCGGACGCAAATCAGGCGGCAAGACAGGCAGGAAAACTCCACCGGCGGACGGGCGGGCCAGCAGCTCGCCAGGCAGGCCGGCCTAGCCTAGCCGGCCGTCACGTGTAGTCACGTGTCGCTGGACCGCCAGAGTGTGTCCGGGCCGCCCCGGCCACACTGCCGGAGTTCATCGGCCCGGCAGGCTGGGGCGTGCCGGGCCGAGCGCCGGACTGCCTCCCGTTCAGATGACGGTCTGGATTGCCGAACCAGCGACACGGAATTCGCGGATCCGAGCTGCAAAGGAAAGACTCGTTGAAGAGTCGGAAGTACTTTGAGGTACAAAGTATTTAGTTTGTCATACGAAGAAATAGTTCAAAAATTATTAAGTGGTTTCTTAGTAACCCTATATGCTCAAAATACCTCGTCTTGACAAGCAGCTACTTTTATATGTGCGGCCCGAAATGGTTCAGAAGGATTTGAGATTGTAAGCCTCAAGCTAGTCTTATCAGACCTCCGAGTGTCCTTGCGACCTCAGCGACGAATGCCGTTGAAACCCCTTCGGACTTAGTCTGCGGAAGCCCTCCTATATAGCACGGCCCGCTCCTTGGATTTACAATGCAGTTTGTTTTTTCAGAGTGAGTAAGCAGGCAGAAAGCCCCAATGCAATAAAAACACCTGGGTGCAACGGCCCAGTAAGAAGTTGACATTGAAGACGATCAATTTCTCGCTAGGTGCGAAACGAGACTGAGACATGCGATGTTCGCGGTTTATAAATCCGAAGCCGAGATTTGGAGAGATAAGTTTACAGTTTAACTGAAGCTTTTTGGCCGCGTTTTGGTAGTTGCTTACAGCCCTTTGAAATTTGGGGGCGGACACACATGTTGCACGTTTGTTCCCCTACACTTTTCGGGACTCCGTGACGATGCTTGGCGTACCCGGGGAGAACATGCGAGTCAAAGACCCGAAGACCTCAGCGAGAAGGATTCTAGTCTAACCGTTCCGGCGTGGTTTTGACAACCGGGACACTTGAACGCAACCAGTCGCTTGTGAGTTAAAAAACACGACCAATTTTTCAGCGTTCCAAAAGAGGGAGCAACGTTCGGGAAGGGGTTAACTGATAGCGATAGCGGCGCGTTTTGCGCTGGCCGCCCTGGCCGCCGCCGGCCCTGGCCTTGCACGCCTTGCATCGGGTGAGGGGCGACGGCCGCCAGGGATTTGCCTCCCTGCACGCCTCGTGTCCAAATCACCATGCAAACCTCACGAAAAAATGCACGAATTCGCGTGTACAGCTAAGCACGAAAATCTGCGTTGTTATTGCGCATGGATCCATGCATTTCACGCGTAAGCTCAACCTCCTCACGCACGCGGCGGCAGGCAGGGCGGCTGCTGAGCTCACATTATTTACGCAAAGAAGCGGAAAGTGCAAGTCACAGTTACACCCCCCCCCTTTCCCCAATTTTACAGTTGGGCTCCGACCTGCGTTGCGTTGATATCTGTCGGGGACAGGCAAGAAGCAGCACCTGACATTTCTCTGGTCTGGAGTGACATTGCCCGTCAAATGAAGCGAACCGCATGTTTCGCGCGGATTGAAGATTTTTGTGAATCGTTTCTCCATTGTTTTCGATTGCATGACGACTGATTGGTCTGTTGGTTATGAGCTGGCTGGGAAGGGGGCTGCTGCGTGCGACCGCATCATGGCAAAAAGCAAAAGCAAAAACAAAAACAGAACACGTTGTCTTTCGAGCTTTCCATGGCCGTGGCCATCTACGCGAGACAGACTCATGGTGTTCATTGACAGGACTCTTTTCTAAATCGTTGAAGACACCTACACCCATAGATGGTGTAGAAACAAGCACCAGCAAGAGCATGTAAAAGTCTTGTAACAGGTCTGATGCGCTGACTCTGTGTCAAATTAAACTACAAATAGTCTGTGACTGTTCTTCGCTGTACTAAAAATAGTCCTGCGCTCAGAATATTGCCGCTCGCAGAAAAAAACGTGCCTGTTATCTGCATAGTAAACTAAATCCCAAATAGCGAAGGGAAAAAATGATTGGGCGAACGCGAGTAACCCCGCGCCCGTATCAGCAGACACTCTTCCAGGAACACGAGGAGTCTAAAACCGATACAGAATTTCGTGTCTGGGGGTTGCCTGCCCCTTTCCCTGTCCACGGTGCGGATCGGTGTGGACCCTGCTTCTGGGGAACGCGTGATTGGGTTGTCTGCGCTTCACATGTAATTTCTTTTTCTTTTAAAGAAAAATAAAGAAAACCTGAAACGCTCACGGAAATTGAAAATCTCGGCCTCTGCCCGAGCACCTCTCGCACCGTGGAAACGGATAGCGTCTGCGTTCGTATAGCGCCATCCCACTCTCTCTGACCAGGTGGACCCTCGGTACGCTTTGTAGGAACGCAGTCAAAGGCTGACTTTTTTCATCCCAGAGAGGTGCACAGAAAGTTTCAGCCTTTGAGCACGTGTACACAGGGAGACGGAGGAAACGTTGCTGCGACGACCCATTCCTCGACCCATTCCACCTGCCCGGTCGCGGCCTTCCCCGCGCAAATTCGAGTGAGGGTTCGAGGATCTTGGAGGCCGACGCCGGCCGACGCGCATCAAACTCGCACAGCAAATAGATAAACACTGCCATAAAAGCGACTGTACGCACACCGGCGGTCTGTCGGCTCCGCGGCCAGGCCGGCCGGGCCGGTCTGTCTGTACAGACATCGCCTTGGTGGCCTTAGCTCCTCCATAAGAGATAATCGCGTGCATCCAGAGCACGTGCAGCGTTTCGCCGCTCTCCGTCTCTGTCGCGCTCATGGCGGTGTCCCGCAGGGCCGCAGGGGTGCGAGAGAGACAGTGCCGGGACCAGGCCGGGACGCGGTGCTGCATGCTGTCGCGGAGGATCCATGGAGGATGTCGAGGGACGGGTCGGTGGCGTGCTGTGCCTGGCTGTGCCGCCACGGCCCACGCGGCGCTGGGGACAACAGCACCAAGCTGTACCAAGCGCTCTTTCCGGAGGCATCCCGGCACGCCTCAACGTACGTTGACGCGAAATCACTCCCCGATCCGACTTCTTCGCCTCAGCCTCCCCTCCCCCTTTCCTCCACCCGGTGCGCGGTGGTCCTGACGCGGTGCATGCTCCGTCTTAATAAGTCCGTCTGCCCGCGCAGGCGGCGGGCTGTAATTGGAGTGGCGTGGTTTGGAACGCGCGGCAAGTCGAGCCGGAGCGGTACTGTCACCGGTGGCAATGCCCCCCGAACGAACCGTACTACTATGACGCAGAGATGCCCTCGACCAGCCTCTGGTTCGTTACGCGGCAAGCAAGCAGCCGAACAGACAGACAGACAGAAGGAAAAGCACATCGACAGGGCAGACTGACAGACAGACTGACAGACAGGTCGCGCTTGTTGCCCGCTGCCGCTTGGCTGCCGCAGCGGTCGCAGCACTCGATTCGTCCGCACACTGCCGCACACGCGGCCGCACACCCGGTACAGCCCGGCCGCCAGCCAGCCGCGCCGGGGGATTTCTTTATCAGTTCAATTTATTTTCTTTGCGGTCGAGTTTTGTTATTGTTTCTCATTCGCCGCGGCATGGACCGGCGTGCCGCAGGGCCGCGCCGCCACCGCGCGGTGCCTCGCGACTCAACGCACTGTCGCGGCGCGCGCCAACAGGCCGTCGGGATCGGCCAGGGTGCCACCGAAAGGCTGCCAAAAGGCTAAAAGGTTGCCAAAAGGCTGAGGGCTGCCAAAAGTCTTCTAAAGCGTCCCGAAGGCTCACACATCGGGGGATCCTATTCAAAGGCCTTATCTGGGCGCTCATGTTCAGAGAATCTTATCTGAAACGCGAGCGAGATTTAATTAGTTTGATCATTTGAGACAGCTACAAATCAAAATAATTTGTGATTTAAGTCACACAAACTTGAAAAAATCAAAGGAACCAATTGGTGCGTGTAGAAATATGTTCCGCTTACTTACCCTCTTATCCGTCCCAAGTCAAACTTCGTGAAATTCGTTTGCATTGCAGATAAGATTCTTTGATCAGGAGCGCCCAGATAAGATCTTTTCAATAGGACCCTTAACTACCGTATTGCAAAACAATGCCTGCGCGAGAAGCGACCGCGCAGGTTGCGCCTTTGGTGGGTGCCGTTGGGCAGTGTCGGGACGTGCGTGCAGAGCAAGAAGTACCGAAGAGTGGCATTGGGGGAGCACTGCGATTGGGAGCCGTCAGGGCAGGCCAGCCTGCGGGCCGGCCAGGGCCAGGAGGGTCTGCGGCAGACCAACCTCGTAGCCAAACCGACACGAACACATTACGAACAGGCCGGACCAGCAAAATAATTATGATTGGCAATTGCTGCACCGCTGCAGGGTCCACCGCCGTGAGGTTGGCCACTCTGGGAGGGGAGGGTAGACGGAGAAAGAGCGGGGAGTGAGGGAAAGAGAGAGAAGGACGGCAGTGCACGGCAGTCTCCTTTCACGCGGTGCTGTTGGAGCTCGCTCCAGGCTGGACAGCGCTCGACAGCTGCACAACAAACACCAACGTGAATGGCCAGACTGGGCCCTGTGGCTTGCCTGTTGCCTGCGGCTCATTGCCCACTGGCTTCTCGGAATGCCCGGCACAATCTAGATTCGTCAAAGCTAGTCGAATGTTCTCGGCAGAAGAGCTGTTCAGTCCATCGTGCTTTCAGTGCTCAGAGAAAAACTCCTATTCTGTGCTGACTGTCGCCAATTAATAAGTACTGGCACATGGCGGAAGAACGACAAGAATAGTTGGCCTCAGAAAGATACAACGGTTCAACAAATCTATTATCCATCACGCAGTGTGTTTTGTAATAAATTATGTCATGCTGTTTTCTTTCACAGTGGGAGTAGACTGCGGGGTGCCAGCGCTGGCTAGGAGCCCCCCTCCCCTGGCGGTAGTAGCCCTCCCCAGGCACGCGGTGCGAGCATTGACCGATAGAGATATGAAACACAGGCGAGGGGGTCGCAGGGGAGGGGCCAATCAAGCAGACACTCTTCGCAGTGTCGTCACCGGTCGTCACCCTTCCAAAGGGCCTTCGGTACGGCCGAGGCACGGAGATGCGGTGGGGACGAAAAATACATAGACCCGAGCGAGCTGGACGGTGTTGGTACTTTGGTACTAGCCGTGCCGGGCTGTGGCCTGCACCGGTGGCGCTGTACCGGGATAGTCAGTGTCGATGTTTCGCGCAGCCGAGCCCCGAGCCTCACGCCCAGCTCACGCCTCACTCACCAGCCCGCCCCGGCAGCCAGCCCCTATTATATTGTTAGGATACGCGCTTTGTTTCTGGACTCGAGAGTAAAAGCACGCTGACGCTTTCATGTGTATCGTAGTTTTAAGTATGTTTCAGGTGTGAAGGTAAGTATGTTTCAGGTGTAAAGGTATCATCTGCTAAAAAGAGGGGGGACTGCTTCTGCTAGGCTTTTGGCCAAGTCGGTATTTGGTCGATGGCAGTTCGATGAGCAGTCTGCAAATTCAGCGGTGGTGCGCGCACCACTGGGCGCGCCTAGTAAACCCGGTGGGAACATGCCTTGGCAAGTTGGAATGCCATGAGTACCTAGCGTCGATAGCAAGCGACGATCTAGGAGGGGGTACTCTATAGTAATAGAAATATTTCCAAATACTTGGGGAAAGCTTACTGAGAAATGATGTTGAGTTTCAAGACCATAGCACTCTTCCCTGGTTTTAAGATAGTTGTTTCACTTAGATTGGCCCGAGTTTGGCTCGTCTTTACCGAAATATTTCTAACAGAAATGAGAGTTTACTAAGGACAATTTTATGTAGGATTACCACGGCTACCACAGCACCGCCATGCCAAGAGGTGACCATTTTATACTGTCTCAAAATGTGAGGCATGTCGTAGGCCTCGTTCGCTCTCCAGTGGCCTGCCCAGAAATGTTAGGGGGTTTCAAGCTGAGCGTTGCCTCCTTCGGGCAGAGAGTACGAAGTACAAAAGGCTGCCTGCGTTCAAGGCGGTGCCCTGGCGCCTTGCGACTAACGGTAGAAGTCTGATGGCCTTGCCTCCCCCTCTGCGCAGGCCACTGCTCTTTCATGCTTTAAAAAATCTAAATTTTGAAAAGGAATCTGATACCTTTTAAATCTTCCATGGGTATAGGCAAACAGCCTCGGAACATCAGGAAGACGACACTCTGGCTGTGCACTTCTCCTAGAAAACAGGGCACATACAAATGCATGGTAAAACGAATTCCGCATCAGGAGAACCAACCAGCCGTGCATTTTCACAAAGTCCAGCGGTAAGCGAGATTGCCAGTGTAGGCTGCACACCTTCAAAATGCACTGCTGAACTGGTTCCTCTTTCTGCACTATCACAAAATGAATCAAATCGACTGAAAGTTCATAATCTTGGCAATCTAATGACTCCGCTCATGTGAATTATCAGTCAGAATAACTTTAACTTTCATCGATTTGACTTAATTTTGCGGCAGTGACGGTGTTTTTCTATTCCAGTGGCCTTAAGGCCCTGAAATGTGAAAAATCGCCGATTGCAAACACATACCACATAGACACACACATGCAAGGTTTCATGCCTCAACAAAAATTTTACTTGGCACGTTGGCCGCAGGGGTACCTCACTTCGAAAATAGGTGTACTCTGACTGCTGACTAGGCTCAATTTCTAATTTTTGTTAGATTGAATATATCACGAAAGTGTTGATTAGGTGAAAACAGGTCAAATTGATGTGTTGGTGCCGGCTTTTACAGTGACTAAACTGTGACTCGGCAGTAGGTGGCGTCAATGGTGGAAACTGACTGAAAGAAGTGGAGAACCCTTCGGTGGCAGCCCACAGTGGCTCCAAGTTACAAGAAAAAGCAGCCAACGTGTCGTAGTTTTCAATAAAACTGAACATAAGACGACAGAAGAGCATTAGCCACGCATCGTAATATCACTGAAAGGACCTAAGAGTGCACTCAGTACACACTTAAAGGTTTTTGAGTGCACTCGGGACACACTTAAGTTTTCAGTGTTTTTCCTTTTGGCTGGGGCAGTGGCAGTGGCTAGCAGTGGCGGGGCCGGCTCGCACCGGTGACTGGTTACAAACAGCGTAGCGGCAACACGGGCAGCGCGGAGCGCGAGCGAGCCGAGCGTCAGCTGATGACACGGGGCTCGCAGTTATTTTTAGCTGAGTACTTTCATTGAAGCTGCCGGCCTCGCCACGCCTCGCCATGCCACGACACCGGCCGCATGGCGACACCGACTCAAAGTCAAGTTCACTCCTCGAGCAGGTGCGAGGTGGGGGGGGGGGACGCAGGTCACTCAACAGCTCGGAGAGCAGAGAGGAGCGCGAAAGAGTGAACGAGACACGTCGGACATCGCCAGCTCCAGATCACTTCTTCAGGGAACGACAAACGGCTGGGATAATTCCCTTGAAGTTTGTCGTTTTGTGCGTGTCTCAATGTGGGTAAGTTGGGAAAGAAAAACATAGGGTAAGAAAAGTAAAACTCTTATGGAGCTGATATGTGGCGAGTCATCCCTCGACCAGTTATTTCAGCTTAATTAACATGAAAATCTGAGTGTGAAATCCCTGTTAATAAATGAATGTTGAGGCCTGTTCAGCAAAGAGGGGTGAACTTTTCTTACCCTGTACTTTTCTTCCTCACTTACCACTAAATAGACAAATTCCTACAAAAAAAAAACGTTGAAGCCTCAAAGGAAACAGTGGCTGCGGAGCCTACGATAGAAATTGTTTAGGAAAAATCCTTCGTAGCCTACTAAGAACTTCTTCACAGCCCGCGAAGGATTTTTCCTTTGTGGTGCATACTTAATTATTTGTATCGATTGTATTGCAAACGATTGTATAAAACACCAATTCATTCTTGCGAAGCCGCCGTTTCCTTTTAGCATAGCAAAGAATGTTCTGTAGAGTTTTAAGCAAGAAAACGAAAACGGAAAAGAAGTTTAAGAGATTGGACAGAAACGAGGTGCTGCGTGTGTCTCACCACAAGCATCCATACTTGCAAACACCACATTTCCGGTTGCCGTTCGGAGACAAGAACCCTGGTCATCCGACGAGGCAACGTGTGAGAATAAGACATCAGTCGAACCTACCTACTCTCAGGTCATGTGCGACCATATCCACAGTCTGCATCGGTCCCTTGAGCCTTGCAACTGACAGAAAAGAATCTCGCCAAATCAATGTATAACACGGCGCGCGCGCAAGAGAGCAGTGGCGCGAGCAAAAGGATGAGAAGAGGTGGGGGTCGGGGGTCCATGGTAGGCAACATGAGAAACGATCAGCCAATAAGCAGAATGCATGACTCGAGCAAGCGACCCCACCTTTCGAAACTTTTGCTCGCACCACTTAGCTTCGCTTTAATAGTAATAGATCACAAGCGGAAATCCTCTGAGGAATCCAAAACGCAAGCGAAGAACAGAAATTAAAAGGTGCTGCTGCCAAACGAAATTAAGGTTCGAGGCAAGCGCAGCAAGACCACTGTCGGAAGAAACGACCTTTGACGTGACCGAGGCTGACCCAGCATGCAGTGTTTGTGTGCCTTGTCTGCGCCTCAACACACACTGAGACAATACACACATAGACACGCGTAAATAAAAATAGGTACATACATATACACATATACACACACACACACACACACACGCAGAAACAGACACATACACACACAGGCAGACACCAAACCACAAAGACCCCCTACCATCCTCCCCCCACAAACTACGGACACCGGACACCAACACACACAGACAAACACCAAAACACAGAACCTCTCTCCCCCTCCCAGAGGCCAACACACAGACATCAATACGCTCAGGCCGATACCAAAACACAAGCAGATATTAAAACACAGGCAGACCCAAAACACATGCAGACACCAAACACAGAACCCCCCGCCTCTCCCAGACACCAACACAGACATCAAAAGACGCAGGCAGATACCAAGGTAGACACCAAAACACAGGCACACACCCAAACGCAGACCCCCCTCTCCCTCCCAGACACCAACACACACAGGCAGATACCATAACACAGGCAGACACCAAAACACAGACACCCCCCCCCCCCGCCTTTCCCCTCCCAGACACTAAGACAGACACCGACACTAGAAGACCGATGGAAAGACAGGCATGCCAGACAAAGACATACCCTTAACTCATGCACGCACACAAGCACACAATCTGCACACACACACGCGCACACACACACACACCCCGCGCCTTCCGGGTCGGATAGGGAGGCTGCGGCCGGCCACCAGTGTGCCTGGAGAACACGAGGCCCAGCCTGTATGCACAGTTCCGGAGGTTCCGACATTCCAGGACTGGCGCGCCATCGCGGCGGCGAAATGCCGAGGTGTGGAATTTGCGGGATGGTGCGGAATCCGCAGGCAGTCGCCACCCTTAAGAGTTCTCCACGTTGCACCATGCCGAGAGATGGGCTGAGTGAGCCACTCTCGGCCACTCCGCACTCGGAGGGTGGAGACTGCAAACCCCACACGTCTAGGAGTGGAGAATTTCTACTCCACACCGGGAAAAGTGGATTTCTTTACACTTGGATTGATAGGGTAGTGCACCCATGGTCTGGAGGAGTGCTGCACTCGGTTAAGGTCTCAAGTGATGAAGAACGCAAAAGACTGCTCGCGCTACAGATCAGATTTTGAGGGCGAGTGTTCCCCGTCTACCGAGTATAAACCACTCCTCTGCGTACGACCCGTCACGTGATGGTGAACCACCGACGTGGCGGGCCGGGCCCGAAAGGCAGACGATCTCTGGTCCAGCCTTGAGCAGTTATGGCAATGGGGTGAACGCCTGGCTCAGCACGTGACTAAAGCCCTGGCTAGCCTGGCTCTGGCGGAGAACAATGCGCCCGCGAGACCGCCCTGTCGGACGGGGTGGCGGCGCGGTGGGGCGCGGCGGCGGGGGTGCGGCAGGCAGCCGGACAAGGCGTCGAGCCCGAGTGACGGCACACGAGGACGGCAGCACGTGTTTCCAAGCGTGTCTCCCAGCGCGTCGCGAGGTGGAGCGGGGCGGGGCGGGGCACTCCGACCGAGATGAGTCGCGAGGGCGGAGGCGACGGCTGCGTCTCATCTGCATATTGGCCGCGGCGGCACGGCGTGAGCCCCAAGGCCGCCGCATCGCGCGCGTCGCGCGGCCCCACCTGCGCGGCGCAGCGGCGCGATGCGTGACTGTACCTGGCGCTGCTCGACTCGGCGCGGCCTTTCCTTTCGGCGCGTTATCGTTATTGACGAGACGAAAGGTGCCCCTCCCCGCCCCCTCCTCTCCTTTGTCTAGCGCGGCACTCGCCCGTTTCCAGGAGACGTCTGACGCAACGACAGCATCGCGTCGCGTCTAGCGGGCAGTGAAGTGGTTCTGGTGACGCGGATTTGACGCTCAAAGTTAAAATAATGTAGAGAGGCTCTGCCGCTTTGGCACCCCCGGAGCTGGCGCACGGAGTGGCCTGCTGAGGTCCAGCGGGTCCAGCCGAAGGTCTAGGATTCCTGGAAGGCTCACCCACTGCTCGCCAGACCCGTCAGTGCGGTCGGCGCTACGCGACGCGGGGCTAGCGGGGCCTGTCTGCGGGGGCCGCCTACGGGGCCCGGCCAGCAGAGTGACCAGAGGGGGGGGGCTATGTTGTCGCGAGTCCGACCGACAGAGACAGCAGGGGCTGTACACCTGTACAAAAGCCCACCCCTCGGACCAGCCAAGCCAGTCTCGACATGGACGCACCACATCAAGCGCTACGCGGCGATGCGAGGGGTGGTTCGGTGCACGGCATAGCTTGGCGGCGCGGAATGATCCTTGAGGGATCTCTCTCTCTCTCTCTCTCTCTCTCTCTCTCTCTCTCTCTCTCTCTCTCCCCCCCCCCTTTGGGAAGAGATACAAACCTCCTCTTTACCTCTCTCCCCCCTCCCACCTACCCCCCGAGCCGGGAACCAGCATGGCTTCCAGAGAATCGGATCCGATCCGTACATTCCAGTAATGGGTTGTGCTAGTCCGCTGATTCCTGCAATGCAGGCGCCGGCCGGCCCCGGCCTGCGCCAAACGGACTATTTCGTCGAAATTTTCACCGCATTGCTGCTTCTGCCGGATTCTGCTCACTCCCCACCGACTGGCATTGGCGAGGCCGGCCAGTCGTCCTGTTCGGGCCTCGATAACATTTTTCCAACCCCAACCAGCGCGCGCTCCTTTGCAGGTTCCGAGCAAGGGTGGTCACTCTCGCACTCGTGTGGCGTCTGGCGAGGGTGAGAGGGAGAGACAGAGAGAGAAAC